CGAAGTTGCTGCAACGCCGCATCGTTAAAAATATATCAGACGTGTAGATCATGTGAATTCATACATATAATCAAATTTTTAGACCCGTCTAAATAACGCTTATCGTGAAAACAGGGAAACTGGACGATGAAAAAAATTCCTAAAATTTGATAAGGTGCCCTCTAGTGAGCAAATTCGATTTTTCAAATTTTAGGAATATAGCTAGAAAAAGGAAGGAGAAATGGGGTTATACCATGACTCAGTGTCAGTATATCACTCAAAATAAAATAATGGAAATAACACTCACCAATGTGGAAACAAAATTAATTTGTATAAAATAGTCCACTTCTGCTATTTCATTTTTAAAAATTTTTTATTTTCCACAGTAGGAAACACCAGAACAACACACGATCGCGATTATGTAATCACTGATTTGAATGTTAAACACAAAAACACGATACTATCACTCATTTTTTAGTGAACACTCTGTTCGGAATGATTAATCATCATTCCTTTCGCGTATTTTTCAATGCCTGTCACATAATTTGACCGTACGTGATGACATCTAATATGAGACTGTCTTGATTGACCACTAATCCCGAATGAATGACTAATAAGTTGAATCATGCTGCAAACCGATTAATTTCCGAACACATGATTCATCTATGACCGAGTCTATGACTAATGATGATTCTGAAAATATTCAAACATATTTTCTGTTATACAAAGTGTTACATTTTCACAGAAATCATCGCTATAAATAATTTGAAGTTGTATGTTACAGAAACTCGTTTTCAAAATTCTGACGAGCCAAAAAATTTTTTATCACATTACTTGTTCTATGAAAATCGTATTCAACTCTTGAAAAAGGAGAAGTTACAATCAGATGAAATGTTTGACCAAACGGAGATATCTCAAAGTTCGTAACACTTTGTATAATATTTCATATGGTTAAATATATTCGAAATGTTGTTACCTATCAGTCCCTTTTAGTTATACGTCGGTGAACCAAACACCCTGTATAGTATACGAAATACCAGATGAAGAATTGAACACGGAGAGTGGTGGATTTTTTTTAGAAAATCTCCCAAGTTATTATGAAAGAATTCACATCAAACATTCCATGGGTCAATACTTCCCAAACTTCCTCAAACTTCCTCGAACATCCTCAAACTTCCCCAAACTTCCTCAAAATTTCCCGAATTTCCTCAAACTTTCTTGAACTACCCAAACTACCTCGAACTTCCCCGAACTTACTCAAACTTCTCCGAACTTCCTAAACTTCCTCGAACTGCCCAAACATCATCGAACTTCCTAAACTACTCGAAACGTTTCAGACTACACAAAACAAGTATAAGCAATTCAATGTTTATCGATTCAAAATTTGTTACTTTCCCTATGGTAGGTAGGTATCTCGGTAGGTATATACAGGGTAGTCCGGTTTGTAATACAAAAAAATCAACAGCGTGTTGTACTCGTTGAGATAATGAAATACTTTCAAACGCGTCGTGTTCGAGGTATAGGGTGTTGAAAATACGAGTCTGAACGAGTCTGAATATTGTTTTTTGATGAAAAGTTCGAAACGGTCTGAGACAAATCTACAACATTTCTAACAGATACTAGACTTTTTACGCTCTATAAGATGGAATGAAAATTATTTCATAAAGTAATTCAGTGGCGGCTGAATCTGGGGGTGGTGAAGGAAAAAAATCACCTGAATTTTTTTGTGCATTCAATTTTTCATTTTCGAGTACAAAATGTGAGACCCTGATTTCTGCGTATAATAGTCCTGCTGTATTTTCTCAACGCGTTACAACGCTTTCGAATTGAACCGGATTAACAATATGAGAAATCAGATTTTGAACTACAAATTGAGAAAGAAATGCACGAATAAAAATTGGCCGCCACTGAATTACACATTATGAAATAATCTTTATTTCATCTTATAGAGCGTAAAAAGTTTAGTATCTGTGGGATAGTTTGTTGATTTATCTCATAGTTTATCTCAAACCGTTTTGAACTTTTCATCAAAAAACAATATTCAGACTCGTATTTTCAACACCCAATAAGTACTATTGACTTATCTAACAGCATCTGTTGAGAATTTCGAAGACCACAACAATGAACTCCTTGAATTTATGTGAAATATTATTTATACACAGGGTGTTTCAGAGTTGTGGTGACAAGAGCCTCGACAGAAGCCGTGAGCAATAATGAAAAACCGTGAAAAACCCATTATTTTTCAAACTGGGACACCCTGTATCTCGGAAACGAAGCATTTCCGGAAACATGTTCATATATTGTTGGGAGGAATTTTCCCTAGGCTCTTGTTACCACAGCTCTGAAACACCCTGTATATCCTGAGATAATAAGTTTCTTGGTTTATCTAGCCAAAGATTTTTTCCGACCGGCTCCGCCCAAACGTTCACAGATATCCTCCAGCTTGCTTGGACTTTCGGAAACTCCCCAAACATCCTCGAACCACCTAAACAACCTAAAAATCACAAAATGTTTCAGACTTCACCGAACTGCCCAAACTTCCTCAAATCTCCCGAATTTCCTCGACCTTCCCCAAACTTCCTCGAACTTCCCAAAACTTTCTGGAACTTCCCAAACTTCCTCGAACTTCCCAAACTTCCTAGAACTTCCCCAAACTTCCTCGAACTTCCCAAACTTTCTCGAACTTCCTCGAACTTCCTGAAACTTCCTCGAACTTCCCAAACATTCTCGAACTTCCGAAACTTCCTCGAACTTCCCAAACTTCCTCGAACTTCCCAAACTTCCTCGAACTTCCTAAACTTCCTCGAACTTCCCAAACTTCCTCGAACTTCCTAAACTTCCTCGAACTTCCCAAACTTCCTCGAACTTCCCAAACTTCCTCGAACTTCCTCGAACTTCCCAAACTTCCTCGAACTTCCCCCAAACTTCATAGAACTTCCTCGTGTCTGTACACGAAACTTCCCACGTGATTTACCCCTCGATTGTGACTAAAATAACCAAATCTTCTGAAATTGGCATGCTCCTGTCTTTTTAAACAGTTCATTTTCTTCTTGCTCCACAAATGATGTAAACCCAGTTTTGAGGGAGTTGGAGGGACGTCCACACTTTCATTGGCCCAAATTTTATTTAAAAAAATAGACACTCTAACTTTGAATAAGATGATCCTGTGGGCCATAAAAAAATGGAAGAATTCGATCTGCATTTTTTTCATACAACATAATTTCAGATATTCTTTTTTTTAGCCAACTTGCAGTGGCTGTAGCTCAGAGGAGGGGCATTTTAGGACACATGTCTTTGAGAAGAAAAAGTCTTATTTTGATCCAAACAATACGTCCTTGAAATATTTAAATCGAATTTAGATTCACCCTGTGAACTAAAAATACTAATTTGCCTTAAGTGTTTCGTGTATCAAATATCATTTTTTAATGCGTAGTTTTAAAATACTCTTGCATTTTTTTCATACAACTAACCGTTTGCCAGAAAATCGTTATCAACGAAAGGAGTCACGTCATCGTCTTCGAACGTAATGGGTTAAACGCTTGCATTCGCAGGTGATCGTATGTCGCATGTCGGAACGCATTTGAAACTGCTATTTTAGAGGCGTGCAATAGTGGAATACTTGCTCTTGATTCGTTATTATGATCATAATTTCAGATATTCTTTTTTTTTTTTCAAATTACAGTTGCTGTAGCTCGGAAGGGGACGGGGCATTTTAGGATACATGATGTTTATAAGAATAAAAAGTTGAATCATTCAGTTATTCAAAGAAGAATCAGTTGAATCTCTCATTATTGTTATATTATATCAGTTTATGATTTATTGGGAATAAAAAAAATTGATTCATAATAACCACATTTATATAAAATCTCCATCTCTGTATGCATTAATATGTTTAATAAAGAAGACCCAAGCTATATGTTTTGCTAATGTTTCAGTATCAGTGAAATCTGATTTGAAAATTGAAATTGCTACTGTTAGAGTAGAGCCCTGTGATGTACTGAAAAGTCTGAAAATTCTCATTGATTGTAAGCTGAGATTCAAGGCACAGGTTAAATCTATTGTTAGTAAGTGTTACTCTTCATTGAAGAATCTATATCGCAGTAGGTCTTTCATCAATGTACCCTTGAGAAAGCAACTATGTGAATCACTAGTATTGAGTCATACTAATTATGCTGATTTAGTATATGGTCCATGCTTGGATGCAGTTTCATCAGCGAGAATTCAAAGAATTCAGAATTCCTGTATCAGATTCATTTACTCACTCAGAACCAGAGACCACATTTCTCATAAACTTAGAGAATTGGGATGGCTCAATATGTTCAATAGGCGTAAATTGCATATTGCCTGCTTGGTTCACAAAATATTAAAAGAAAAAAATCCTATTTACATTCATCATCGATAAACATTCACTTCGGAAATTCATAATCGTTCCACTCGAAATACAGGTCTTCTCGTGATGCCTATGCATAGAACAGCTTTATATGAGAGATGCTTCTCCTATAATGCAGTTAAAATATACAATTCTCTCCCACAAGAGCTCAAGAATAAATCAATGTTTCACTTCAAAATGTCAACAAAATTATTTTTCTTTCGCTAATAAGCCGTATTTTAGAATAGATAATAATGTTATACTTATATTTGGTAGATAAGTTGGTTTTATATTCAAGCTACTATGTAGGTAGTTATTCAATTCAAATTTGTTAAGTAGAACCCTATTATTATTATTTAGAAAGAGAGAGAAACTCAAAGTCATTACCACAATAGTTTATAAAATAAACGAAAATGGTAGAACACGAGAGAAAAACACTTTCCTGGCTATATGCCACGCAGAACATTTGAATACATCCTCCCGAAATCTATGCAATAATTTGTATAGACGAATAAAATCGCAAGTGTTTCCTTCCTAAACGCCGAGCTGAACTATTGTGGTAATGACTTTGTGTTTCTCTCCCTTTGTAACCATTGCATTCCACTTTGAGTATTTGGCTTTTTCCTAGTTCATTAATATGTTCATGTTTTAGGTTTCGAAACTAGTGATACTCCATGAAGAGGCCGAGGATGGGATTCCCATGCCTGATCTTCAACAACCGGTTAGATCTGTCAGCAATGCTGTCTCGAATTTGGTCAAGGTAAGCAAGCATATAGGGTGCTTACGAAGGGATGTTTGAAGCTCTAGCCTCCTCCTCCCTAAGCAATGTAGGAAAAAAATTAAATTTCTATAAGTACGTAATGTGACTTCTTCGAATAATATTTTTGTAAATTTAATAAAATTAGCTTCTGTTTCACGAAATAAGCAGGCAAGACATAAACATTTTAAATGAGGCACATACAATATTACCGATTTCTAATTTCGCCTATGAAAGTCTTAAAAAATTGATAGTCAACCAAAAAAATGGCATAGGGTGCTACATAATTGGTTATTAAAGGACACCGCACGTTTTATAGGGAAAATTGGCCTCCTGTCGAATTGGCTGAATTTTTGATATGTTATAGTTCAAGATATTCTGAACAAAATGTCCAAATACCAAACCGTTCTAATGGCTAGTTTTGGCGCTAGAGGCCGCTGAAGTCTCAATCTTGATTTCTTTTCTCCTGATGAATAATGCTCTTCGAGCCATTATTATATTTTATTTTGATAGGACTAGTCACTATCAATATTTTTGCTACTGGTCAACAATTATACAATGTGTTCCAGCTATTATTGTTCAAGGCAATAATGATATTCATTAATTTTATAGGAAAGGATATCGAGAAATGAGAAATCGAGAAATGTCCTATTCCAATTACAAAATAGGTTAATTCGAATTCCATGTTCACCCTTTGTATATCGAGAAGATGCACGAAGATATCAACCCGTTCCATATAACAGCAGCTAAATGATATTCGAATCAAAAAAATATTTTAATATTCAATATTAATGTGATGATGTTTTTTCTTGTATTAATCTCCTATTTGTGGAAGGAATGTTATTTTGCGTTTTCCCTCCTGAAACAGTTCGTATATATAGCATCAATAAATCAGCACAAGTAACAAAGTTCACAAACTATTCAATATCTGCGATCCTGCCTCATCAACTTAGGATGATCAATTGATGATTTTTGAAAGAATAGTACGATTTTCGAGGGCGTGATATCTGAAATATATTGACATGCATTTGAAAAAATATACTAGGTATAATCAGAATTTTTTGACGAAGTTACAAGGAATATTCATCTAAAGATGCAAATGAATACTGATGATATTACTGATAATATCTGCTACTGTTATAGAACGAGTTGTTAACGTATATCTCCTCTTTATATACTAGGTGAACATTGAATAATAATAATAAACGTTTTTATTGGAAAAACTGTTTTATAATTGAAATGCGACACGTGACACTATCCTTTTTTATTGAATTATTGGATATTATCATATTTTATCTCCCCCATAATTGCTGGAACACACTGTATAATTCTTGACCAACAGCAACAATATTGAAGAAAACTTCTTGTAGTGACTTATCCTATCGAAAAATAATATAATAATAGCTCAAATTGAAAAATTTGTCAGGAGAAAAAAAAAACAACATTGAGACTTCAGCGGCCTCTAGCGCCAAAACTAGCCATTAGAACAGTTCATAACATATCAAAAATTCAGCCAATTGGACAGGAGGCCAATTTTCCCTATAAAAGGTGCGGTGTCCTTTCCTATTGGAATAAAAATTATCCAGTATTCAGAACTTGCACCATTCTCGTCATTAAGAATAGAGATATTGAGCATAAAAAATATATGTACATATATTTTTCATTAAGAAGATTTATTTCGTTTCATGATTTTTTTCCGCAAAATATAGACTTCTTGAATTGATTGACTCTAACAAAAGTGTCTGAGCCAGTGTATGGAAACCCTTGCCATTACCATAATATACATTCCATCAAATTTGAATTAGGCCTAAGGCAATACACTGGATGAATTGGGTAAAGATGTTATCGGCATCACTTACATTTCTTCCATATGCAATAGGTACCTCACATACCCATTTTGTATAGGTTTTGTAGCGTTGACAAACGAGTACGAAAATATTGGTGAAATACTCTTCCATAATAATGCTAGACGGCAGAAATCACAAATGTGTCAAAGTATTTATACAATAGGGTCATTGCAGTCAATTCGCGGTAGTCAAGGTCATTATCTGACGTTGTGATGACATGAAAAGTACGGGAAAACATGTCTAACTTTCATTATAAGCCATAAGTTAGGAATGTTTTCTCGTAGTTTTCATGTAATTTCAACGTCATATGATGACCTTGATTACCGCGATCCAGCGAAATCGCATTTTAGCTCTTCGTGAACATGGCAGTTCACCAGTGACGTCAGCAGAGTTGTGAAAGTGCCCGAACTAATACTTCCATTTTATTTTCTTAAGCCCAAGCTGAGCCTATACATATAGAAAAAACAAATGATTAACTTCATGTAGAATTGAAACTCCCAATGTAGGAAACCTCCCCATTGTAGGGTATATACAAAATGAGGTTTGTTGAAATGAAACAATGAAAAGTAAAACGGCTATCCAGCAAAATTCTGCACTAACTGGCGATCTCGAAAATGGTCATTAAATCATATTTTTTCATTTCAGGTTGGTAGAGATACTATCAACAGTTCCGATGATCCTATCCTACGTCAGGACATGCCAGCGGCACTGGTTAGAGTTGAAAGGTCCTCCAAGCTCCTTGAGGAGGCCAGCGATATGCTTAAACATGATCCGTTCTCATCTCCAGCAAGAAAAAGGTTGATTGAAGGCAGTGGCGGCATTTTACAAGTAAGCAAAACCACAGGCGAAAAATTGTACAAGTAGTAGGAGAGATGGCTGCAGATTTCTACCATCATCTGATAACGAAATGATACATCTCCCAAAGAAAAGTAAAAGTAAAAAATGTCCCTTTTGCGAATATCCAAACATGCCGCGATTCAAATTGATCTAGGTTAGTGGCAGAGCGTCAATGTTTTCGTAAATATTTCGCCCTCGTCGAAAGATAATATCCGATTGACCCGTGTGAAACTCATGTGGTGCTCACACTACAAGTATTCTAATCCACATGTTGAGTTTCACACTGGTCCATCGGATATTATCTTCAGAGGGAGGCGAAATATTCTAGGAAGTATTGACGCTCTGCCACTAAGTTGGATCAGTTTGAGTCGCGACTCGTTTGGATATTCGCAAAGGCGACATCATCCCCTTTTAGTTGCTACTTGTTTCAACTTGATATCACATGACGGAAGTATGTCCGGAACAATGGGAGCAATCACTGTGGCGTGAATTTTGCTCAGACTGAGGGGTGGCACAAATAGGTTTTTGAAATCTATCATTCAATTGGTATCGGATGGCATAATTCTTATCTCGTTATCAAATCGCGAAATCGAATGCGAATTTCCGCACAGTAAAGTGCCATTTTTCAATCATTCTGCTCAGGATAGTGATTAGCACAGGTGCCGTTCGATAAACTACAATGGTTTCACATGCCTTTGGGACACATACATTTCGTTATCGGATTACGGCCGACATTTGCAGCCAGCTCTTGGACTAAAGTGAGTCATTCCATTTCATAAGTTCCAAAACTCACCGATCGAATTGGCCATATTATGGTCCTGATATTATTACCAAAGATGTTTGAAGATAACATCATTCGTTTCATGGGCGCTCAGTCGTGGTCGGCGCAATATTTGTTTGATATGCGCTGTCTTACTTGGCGCAACAACGAGGCAAAAATAACTTCACAAGTGATTTTTATTTGCTGTCTCAATTCTTCCACATTTTTCACTTCTCCGTCACAATATACCAAGTTTTTGAAATTGCTCCAAAGAGCGTTCCAGGCAAGAAATTGGTCCATTATGCTCTATACACCAGGCATGTTATTTTGTATACCACATTTTCATCATTGATGGAAGTGACGTCACTCTCTGATGCATCGAATTGTTGGAGTCATCAGTGTTGAGAACAAAGTGCAGTTATTCGACATGACAATCACAACTGTTTTTTATTCCTTTATTTATTTTTATTTTCGTGATTTGATAAAGATTTAGATTGTTTTCAATTAGAAGTTCAGAATTGGCGAAAACTGATGTTAAATGGAAAATGATGTATTAAAAGTATTATTGGAGTCCTTGTCTCCAGATCCAAAAGTTTTAGCAGTTCTTCTGATAGTTCCGAGGATGAAATATTGTTTATGTTGGGGAGTAGACGAGATAGGTTGAAAATTATGTATAGAGTCATCAATAAGAATTCTCTGTTGGTACTCAATTTTCCTGAATGTTTGCACTAATTTCTTGAAATTCATGATGGAAATGAAAAAAGTACCTATCACTCGAAATTTCTTCAATTTCTGTTGGTGTCAATAATGCAGCTATTCTTTTATTTCCATATGCTAGGCTGATTTACATTAATTCGTCCATATTTTGTCTTAGGCAAATAGCAAACAAATTTCAAATCCAATATTTTGTTTTTAGTTTTTGAGGTTATGCTGTCGCTGTCATTTCGAAATCCACCAAAATTCGTCCACCATCTCTGTACATCGTTGGAGTGGTTTGCAATTTTGGTTGACACAACAGTAAAAATAGAACGCGTGGTTACGTCAAACAGGTCAAACTGGAATGCACCAAAGAATAAATGAACGCAGTTGGTGGATTGATGGAGCCACCGGTGAATAAAAGAACGTCCCTACCTTTTGGGAAACACATCCAAATGTCGCGAACCACATTGCCTGTCTTACATTCAAAGCCACATCTTTAAGTAATTCGTGCAAATAGTTTTTGTAAAATTTCCAAATAATTTTCACCTGATAATCGGGGTGGAAGAAAGAATGGCCCGATAAGCAGGCCATTGGCATGCCCCTCCTAAATATTCGCCTAAAATCTTCGCTGGAAATGATTGTGTTCTGCATACGGCGTGAGAATTTTCTATTGACCAAGTTTGAGAATTATGAATCTCATTCACCCCTTTTCATGTAATTGTGCCTTCGTCTGTAGCCAAAATGAACTCTGTGAATTGTCCGTTGTCAAGGTGCTGATTCAGAGCCACAGACAAAATTTGACCCGGCAGGATGATCTTGAAGTAGTAACGATTATACTCTTCGATAATTGTATGTCTTCTTTGGCAAAACACCTTCAAATCAATTAACATTCGCGGTGTTGGAAGATTTCTCAATGCAAGTCTTTCCGTGTACATACAAACGAAATGATGCTGCTGCTGCACTTTGGCGACACTCACCATTAAACTAAAGTATGTCAACCAGCTCATTATTTTCATAACCGTGCTCTATTATTAAACAATTCACAGAAATACAATCGATAAAGCTGATCTGATGACTGGCGATAGACATAAAATTTCTAGTGTGGACGGTAGTAGGGGTACAGAGGATTAGTCACTTTGTGGAACTTTGATACACTTATTTAAGAGTTGGATTGTTTGTGTATCGCTGAAATCCCAAGTTTGAACTTGTGCGTAGTTGAGAAATGCAGGACCTCTACAGCTTATGGTGGCTTTCAAAAACCACCAACCCTCTAGCAATGTGAACGGCGATCTATAGTGATAGTCGAGCGCTGAAATCTGTACAGCCATATTATGGTTTCTTGTTCTGTATGTCTTGGAAAATCTTTATCATTCATCTTAACTGAAGTATCATGAATCAATCATACTATTCCTCAATATTTATATGTATCTATTATACTGTTATTTGTTGCCATATCATTTGATCATTCAACTACTTATTACCTAACGGTCTTTTTCAAGCGAAAATGTTCCATCTGATATAACAGTATGTTTCATTAGTCGTAATTAATCTATTTTTACCTCATTCTGAACTTTTGTGCTACAAACATTATTGAACTGAACCACTGAACGTACGGATACTTTCCGCTGTTTTATTTTTATTAGTAATAGTATACAGAGAAGTGCACAAAACACGGCCAGGACTGTACCTATTGAATTATTCGAGATAGGGGTTTGAAAATTGGTGGGCAGCTAGTATACCGAATTGCTCATTAATTGACGAAACAATTTTTGTCTTATCACTTCCGGTTTTACTGGAAACGACCCCAACTTTTGATTTTTAAATGGGACACCCTGTATTGTATTCCATAATCAGTTAGAGATTGTCATAACGAATTCATCGATAACGGGTTTGATAGGGTTATTTCATAGTGTGACAGAGAAAGAAGTCACACCCATTGAACATATGGAAACTTCGAACGCAAATATCTTTGTAATTGTTTGAAATAACCCTATCAAAGCCGGTATCGTTGAATTCGTCATGATAATCCCTAACCGATTATGGAATACAATACAGGGTGTCCCATTTGAAAATAAAAAATTGGGGTCATTTCCGATGAAACTGGAAGTGATGGAAGAAAAATTGTTTCATCAATTAATGAGCAATTTGGAATACTTGCTACCCACCAATTTTCAGAACCCTATCTAGAATAATTCAAAAGTTACAATCCAGGCCGTTTTTTGTGCACTTCTCTGTATTTACTTCGTTGGTATATACGTAACCAACTTGCCTTCGACCTCCATTGAGGTCCTTCAGCATTATCATTCCATATTTCAAGAAGAAATAATTTTCTAATTAATTTTTCGTACCCTTTCATCCACACGAGGAGGCGATATGCACTCTCATTCGAAAATGAGAGACAAAGAAAGAAAGATATATGGATGTACCCCGAACATGTAAAGAAAAGAAGATGCGAGAAGCCTTTATCCAAGCGAAAAACATATTCTTGTCCTTCTTTGACAAGTTATAGTTATAATCAGTATTATAAATGTTGGCAAAGCAATTGTGATAATTAACAATACTTCTTTTTGTACATGTATTCTATATTTTATTCATGTTTGCTGTTGTTGACCCTTACGGTAAAAATATTGTACCAAACTTTATTTAATGACTTTTTGCCTATCGTGAACTATTTATACATACTATCCAGTTTTTGGTTATGTCTCACTGTCACTGCTTGTCGTGTGTCCGTACTCTATATATACAAAAACGTCAAAACAGCAGTGTCAAGTACATTAAGGAACTCTATTACAGGCAGGACTGTAGTAAAATTCTTTTAAAATTCATGAAATTTTCATTTGTGTCAAAAAATCGGTTCATTATTTGGAAGATGCAATCTTTAATGACCCATTTTATAATTTTCAGACAACTTCAGCGCTTTTATTGTGTTTTGATGAATCAGAAGTGAGGAAGATCATCCGAGAGTGTCACAGGGTTCTCGATTATCTCGCGGTTGCTGAGGTGATTGAAACTCTGGATGAACTGGTGCAATTCTTGAGAGATCTGAGTCCTTGTCTCAGCCGAGTTTCCAGGGAAATCAGCGCCAGAGAAAAAGAACTCACACACCAGGTAACTCAGCAATACAATAATAATTAGTACATATTTTTTCGAATAATCAATTGTGATCTGTGTGCTTCCTTGCTTTTTTATCTCGAATTCAGGAAATTAGCCTACTTACTTAAAAATATCTCTAGGATGATAAGAAAAATATTCACAAGAAGTTTAAGCAGGAATTTCTGATTATTTGAGTTTTTTTCTGAGGCTTGAAATTGATGTAAAGTATGTAGTAACTTGATCATTCTTGTTACAAATGTCAATTGGAAATATAGAAAAAATCATACATTGAAATCCTGAATTATTATTCTAGTCTAGAGCATAGTAATTTAATGCATATGCACATTCATTGTGAGATGGTTTGGTGAATTTCTTCACAAAGCACATCTCTAGATTCTTCACCTCATGGTGAAGAACTGATAGGTACATGATTAAACAGGGTGTTTAATGCAGGCCACCACACAAGAAATTACTACTAGTACTGTTTCGGCCCGCCAGGTCGCATCAGCCGCTCTCGGTCTTCTGAGAACTAGGACAACTCAACGCTTAGGGTATATCACCCATCCCATTTCGAAGACGACGTACACTGCATGATGATCTAGGCATGCTATCGCCATCTAGTGGCGTTAGTTTCGAGGTAGGGCCTTGCGGCTACGTCATACACAGCACGACGCTGCCATCTATAGTCAACATATGGAGACACTTACGTCTACACATTACAGAGTGCTACTACAAGTATAAACGCAACTGACAGATGGCACCACCTGAATACTTTGGTGGTAACCCACCAGTCCTATTCACTGAACTAAATCTCATAACTGAGAGATCGAGGATTAACAGAGTTGCCCCAATTGTCAGCAGGAGATGACAGCGTCATGCTGTGTATGATGTGGCCCTACCTCAGAACTAACGCCACTAGATGGCGATAGCATGACTATATCATCATGCAGTATCCGGCGTCTTCGACATTAGTGATATATCCGAAGCGTTGAGTTGTCCCCGTAGTTAGCAGACCGAGAGCGGCTGATAAGGCCTGGTGGGCCGAAACAGTACTGTCTCGATCCTGCTGACAATTGGGACAACTGTGTTCATCCTAGATTTCTTAGTTATGAGATCTAATTCAGGGAATAGGACTGGTGGGTTACCACTCAAGTATTCAATTCAGGTGGTGCCATCGGTCAGCAGAGTGTTTTACTTGTAGTAGCACTCTGTAATGTGAAGACGTAAGGGTCTCCACATGTTTAACTGTAGTGTATGACGTGGTCGCAAGGCCACTAGACGGCCATAGCATGATTAGATCATCATGCAGTATCGGGCGAATTTGAAAATTGGTATGCTGTTATAATAAATCATTTCCAATTTACCGGAAATATTTTTAGTCCCCCAGCATTACAGGGTGTGCCAAAAGTCGGCCCCAACTTTCTTATTTTGAATGGAAACCTACATTATCTCACACAGTAGGTACGATTGGCTTCCTGATTTTGAGTTTAGCCGACCTCATTCATGTCAATTCATCTATCGCAGTTTTCGAGATATGTCGATTTTTCTGAAAACAATTTCCGCCGTACTAGTTTATCTCTCCCATTTTTATTTTTTGTTAAAGCCATTTTATTAGAGACTTCGGTCGATAGCTTATAGGACAATTCCCCTGATGTTGATTTTCTCTCTCTCTCAATCCCTCATAATGAGGGCTAACATTATTCATTGTCCACCAAATCGCGCCACTGAAACGTGAGGTATATATCTATGAACTAGCAGTTTATATTTACAGTAATAGGAACGATTTCAAATCAAATAAGGATTTGCACAATATCAATACTCGTAGGAAGAATGAAATTCACACCCTTGCTGCCAGGTATAAAATAACACCGATTTTTCTGAAATATATAGGCCCCAGAATATTTAATGATCTACCACATGATATCAAAATATATTTTGATATTAAACAATTCAAATTTGGTTTGAAATCGTTTCTGTTAGAACATTGTTTTTACTCCATTGATGAATTTAATTCAGTCAGAACTGTTCAGTATACTGGATAGCTTTTATTTCACTGTCTCTATATGATTTATTACTTTGTACTGTATCCTTCTAGACTGACTATTTCCATACAAAATTTACTTTTGTCGTTCAAAGGAAAATAAATGACAAAAAAAATAGCTCGTAAGTCATAATTGGTGGAGATGTTGAAGGGGTAGTGGGTGTTATTCTCCCCAATTTCTACACCACTGGAAAAAGTACAGTTTTGAACCGCCAATGATTTCTACACAAAACACGTAACCTAGGCCATAAGCTCTAAAGTTGATAGTTTTCGAGAAAAGTTTTTTGAAATATTTTTTTGCTGCGTGCATTGAAGCTAGCGGCGGGCATTAACAACAATTAATTTAACTGAGTATTTTGCAATTATAAAGTTAACGTTTGGTTTTGTTACTTGCCAACGTTTAAATGAAATTTGTGCAATTATTTGTAAGAAACATTATTTCAATAAATTGACCATGTTTTTCAACATAAAAGTTGATTTTTCTCGAAAACGATCAACTCTTTTGACTTAAAGTGCCTTTTTGTGTTGAAAACATTAGTGGTTCATGAGGGTGTTCAAAACTTTACTTTTCCAGTGGCGTAGAAGTTAGGGAGAAAAACACCCACTATATCTTCAAAATCTTCACCAATTATGACTAAAAAACAAAACATAGCTTATTGTGACTAGACAATGATCATGAAAGCTGTTTTCTGTGCGATAAACGGTACCAGAGATATTCGCAAAAACCGATTTTTTGTTTAAATTTCAACATCCTGAGCTATAATATTCTGAAGTCCGGCGCATATATTATGAAACACCCTTTATATGCTCTATATGGAGTAGGCTGGCTCAAAAAAATAATAACTTATTGAATCCATTATAGAATTTGTGATTTGAAATGTTTCTATTTCCAGGTGCATTCAGAGATTTTGATGAGATGTCTCGAACAAGTGAAGACCTTAGCGCCAATTTTGATTTGTTCGATGAAAATCTACATCCACATCGTTTCCCAAGGGGGCAAAGGTGCCGAAGAGGCTGCCGAAAACAGGAACTATTTGGCACGCAGAATGACCGACGAGATCAACGAAATCATCAGAGTGCTGCAGCTGACGAGCTATGATGAAGAGCAATCCGATTTAGATAACCTGACGGTCTTGAAGAAATTGCAGAATGCCATCACCAACAAAGTCAATGCGGCGAATGACTGGTTGTTCGTGAGTTATCAGTCGCTAAATAATTTTCTATTCTATTGAAATGTGTCACATTTCTCAACGAGCTCAATTTATTTCAGGATCCAAATGCCGTCAGGGGAGGAGTCGGAGAAAAATCGTTGAGGCAGATCATCGATGCTGCTCACAAAGTAGCTGAAAGGTACGATTTCATACAAGGTTTCTCATAATGATACTGTGAACAATTCATCAAAAATTGAGGGATCCATATTTGTTCTCGTATTTGTTTATTTGTTTTTTTTTTAAGATTTGTCAGGATGTTCGGTTTACGCCTGATGGGTGATGCCCCACTCATTAATCCTTCGACCTCATTAGACTTCCATGGGAAATTTTCTTCAGAAATCTCTGCCATCATTTTATCACTTACAGAAACATCAGAGGTTTGACCAATATAAAAGCCATTAAACTGCTGTACTTTACATTCATTAGACTTCCATGGGAAATGTTCTTCAGAAATCTCTGCCATCATTCCATCACTTACAGAAACAGCAGAGGTTTGACCAATATAAAATCCATTATACTGCTGTACTTTACATTTGTATGGACAAAACTTGAATATGCAAGTATAATATGGTCTCCATTTTATGAAGTTCATGTTCATGTAGAGAAGGTGCAGCGTAAATTTTAAAGTATTTGCTTTTCGAAATTGATGGTACCTATCCTCGAAGGCGTATGGATTACAAAGAACTATGTGATCTTCTAGATTTTACGACTTCTTTAAAAATAAGGAGAGTTTGTGCCTCTCTCATATTCTTATGCAAAGTTCTACACAATTCGACTTAATTGACTGTGGTGATAAATTGGAACAGCTGATCTTTAGCATTGCAAACATATGTGACATCAAACGTACTTACCGAAGTTACTCTATTTCGCATCATATTCTGTAATATCAGCATGTAAATGGGTAACTGTTGGACAATAAAGCTACTACACTACACTGTTTTACCACTAACCAAACCGATTTTTTAAACGCCTCGACACGTTCTTCTCCTGAAGATGCTAACATAGTTAGCAAAACACATGTCGAGGCGTTAAAAAAATCGGTTTGGTTAGTGGTACAACAGTGTAGTGTATTATCGTGCCAAGGGTTCCAGTCTTCGATATATCAAAATAAAGCTACTATTATCATTATTACTATTATTATTAATATAACTATTATTATTACTATCATAATATTTACTAGCAATACCAGTCAGACGAACTCGACAGGCCCAGTATGCACATCCTTTCGTTGTCAACCTTGAAATATGTCGAACTACACACCAAAACTCGTTCGTCTATAGAAAGAAAAAGCTTTGAAATTGTTTGCCAATGAAAGTATTTCCAAAAACTTATAGCCTTCAAAATAAAAAAAATCCAACACTTACCTTCTCTCCCTATCCCCTTAAGTACGAACGATACTCTTCGAACATGAGAAGAACTAAAAAAATGCGTCGAGTAAAATTGAAAATCCATGTTCTGTTGAAAAACTGAAAACCATTCAGGAGATGAAGCTGATCTTAAGCGACGGCTAAAATTTGGCTTTGAAGTCGTATATCAAATAACAATTTTCTTTTTGAACTCCAATGATCGCATATAACAAAAGGAATGTTCGCCTCATAATGGAGCATTTTTTTATTGCTCGGAGCGCACGAAACGGAATCCCTATAATATTCGTTTTTCCTTAGGATAGAGCTGAGGCAAGTGTGGTTAATTAGTTTACCTGAATGTTCATTTGATTTCAGATGCCTTCCTCATGACACCGACATCATCCACAAGATATGTTCTGATCTTGCCACAATGACCGATGCCCTGTGCGAATTGAGGCAAGACGGCAAAGGGGCTACTCCTCAGGCAGAGTCATTGGCCAGGGGTATCAGAGAGAAGTTGGGAGATCTCCAACAGTCCATCATGAATGCTGTGGTCGCGGTCGACAAAGCCGGACTACAACAAACTGCGCACACCATACAAGGAAGGTAAGAATGGTGAAGCCGATTAATTTTTGTTTTTTCGGGTTACTTTCATTTATTTATTTTATTTATCAAACATATCTTCCAGAAAGAACAAGTTCTGGTATGAAGAAGAACATGATTATAAAATAATGAGTAATAAATATCTGTGAACTACTACACAAACATGAATAGAAGTGAACATGAATAATAAATCATAATAAATCAGGATATCACAATGAATCACAATAAAACAAAACAATCAATGAACAAAGAAAATAATTCTAGTCAAGGACATAACTTACTGATTAATTTTAAACATTTCTCTCAGAAATGTTCAGTTTTTTTTATTTCTTTTTAAATGTACCTATATTTCTGCAGTTTCTAATTTCATCTGGTATTGAACTCAGATAAGGCTACATGAGTGGCTCTTTTTTATCCGAGTGTAGAACTAGCAGCATCAAGGTGAAATAAGTTATATTGTCTAGTTTGATGACTATGAATTTCAACATTTCTTGTCAAAATAATATTGGATTTCAATTTTTTATTTATGATATTGTCACTAATCTGTAATGTTCTTTTAAAGAATATGTTTTTGTTAAAGCATACAGTTCAGTTGTTGGTGTATCATATGAAAGACAATACAGTACTTTTAATGATTTCCTATATAATATTGATATTTTATTAAAATTATTTTCAGAACAAGATCCCCAAACATTTATTAAATAGTTGATTCGACTTAGTATATGTGAATAGAGTACTATATTTGCAATTTTCATATTGAGTTTGGGACATCTTCTCAATGCACCAATAATAGGAGATATTTTCTTTGTCAGAACCTCAATATGTTTGTCCCACTTCAATTTTTCACCAAATCAAAAACCTAAATACTTCATCTGGTCGTTTTGTTTCAAGAATTCATTCTTTATTTGACGATTGAGCTGAATTTTCTGTTTATTTTTTTGTTGAAAAATCATGTATCCAGTTTTTCTGTTATTTATTGATAAAAGGTTAGAGTGGAGCCATTTTTCAAACAATTTCAGTTCGTTATTCATCACAGTTTCTAAAATTGAAGGATTTTTGTTTTCATATGAAAGCACTGTATCGTCTGCATATAATAATATGGTATAAATACTCGCTAAACCAACTTTCCTGATATTTTGAATATAAAGCAGATACAGTATTGATCCTAAAACAGATCCTTGTGGAACACCCTTATTCATTGACAGTTCATGAGACTCAGAATTTGCAGATTTGGTAGTGATTGTCCTATTTTCAAGATATGAAGCTAAAATATTTCTCACAATGCGTCTGAGTCCAATGAATTCCAAGTTATACAGAAGTATTGTGTGGTCCACTGTATCAAAACCCTTCTTTAGATCAATGAAAATAGCTAATATGTAATTTCCTTTATCAATTCCTTTTTGAATTGCTTGTATCACTTGTAATACTGCCGCTTGAGTGCCACTATTTTCTTGAAAACCAAACTGATTTATATCGAAGCTATATCTTATGTTGATGAAATTCACAATTCGTTTCTTCAAAATTTAAATATTTCTTCAAAGGTCAGCTTCATCCAGGGCTTCGCACTGACGTCAGGAATCAATCATTACAATATTCAATTCGTGCTAACCCTATTGACGAGTCTACCAACTTTTTTATTTGCCTTGTGCCGTACCGAGTCAAATGCCTTTCTGATATCTAGGAATATTCCGGCTACTTGTTTTCCATGAGTCCCATTGCTTGTACATTCGATATAACTACTGATAAGGGATGTAATGTGATAGCGTTTTCCTTGAATCTGAACTGATATATGGAATCTTATTCTTGAGTTCCACTAGAAGCCTATTTTTGGTGATTTTTTCCATGTTATTTTCTATGAATGGTGATAAAGTAATGAGATAAGAAAAAACAATGAAAGTCCCAAAGTCTGTCATTGTTTTTTCTTATAAAAATCAATTGGACCACTTTGAGAAATATGGATGATTTCCATGATTTAAAGTAATGAGAGCCTAGTTCCCTTTTTGTTAATTTCAAGTTTTCTTGAAAATATTGACAATTGATATTCTCATTCTCCTGCTAGAAGTAATCCTATATTCGGAAGTTCGGAATCAATAGGAAATACTATTCATAACTAGGCAATGAGAAATACTCATTGCCCATTCAAATATTCCACTTGGCAACTGGATATGCAAAGTGAGGCGTAATTTCAATATATTGATTTTCCTAATGTTATAAATTGATGGCGCTATCTACACTGACATTTACATAGCTTTTAGTCTGGATTTGATTTTTTTAAAGATTGGAACAAGCAAGAAAATGGCTATCTAACCCAGGCCATGACGACAAAGGTCTTGGACATAGAGCAATTCATGCCATTATTGAGGAAGGAAGAAAGGTATGAATACCATTTTTTTTGAGACCTCATTATATACGGGTGCGAATCAGAAGATATATTTCACCTCATTTTTTTCAATCTAATTTTATCATGATACTAAACTGAATCAATCACCTGAATTTGATTAATCCTATCATACATCATTGTTCTTAAAATTGTGATATTCTAAAGGTATGAACATTATTACATGTTGAATTTGTGGCAGAAACTATAGTATATTCCAGTTAAGAATAAAGTAGATGACATGGATAGCACTGATAGCAGAGTCCGCTTCACACTAGTGAACCTGTCAATTACAAATATCGGAGAATGATCGCAGAGTTTAATGGTGAACCAATGATATATTTCTATAGTTTGGATCGATAGTATATTTTGCAAAGCACCAAATCAAATGAAATCAGTTTTTGATTGGATAATAACAATAATGATAACATTGTTCGAAATTGAAGTTAAACTATCTTGATGTTTGTAGCTGGCTGACGATGGATGCCAAAGACAATCAAAGCCGTGTATACGATTATTGCAGTTAGAATGACACTCACGGTAGACCACCACATATTATTAAACATTGTTGGTCAACCAATTCAACTTTTGACTTCATAATAGACTAACCACTGCCATTGTTCATGATCGATAACGATATCGTCTGGCATCTAGACTAATGAATAGCAAGGTTAGACAATCCCTATGGGTTGCGTGCAAGAACTGTCAGATGACCGACGCTGGAGGCAAAACATTGAAACACAATTTCACTTTTCTTATTTGTTCACAAGTGATCGAAATAGTTTTTCACAATTATTTTGGCATACGAATCGTATTTTTCCGCTATTCATCAATTCGCTCATGCCATCACATTGTGCTGTTGTAAAATGCACAAAAACTGCAGCGGAAGATGAAGGAATCCGCATGGTACATTATGATTTAAAAGTAAGTACCTACTATAGTCACTCACCTATAGTTTTCATTTTTGAAATTTGGTAATTTCTCTGATTTCTCATCGGAATTCCTTCTGCGATAGGAGCTAATAGAAATACACCTGAAATTTCTAAAATAATGCAAGAAGATTGGATTCATGCAATCAATCGGGAGGACTGGTCTGACATGCTGACGATCGTGTGTGTTGTAGACATTTTCAATCTATTAGCAGTATTAGCTTGTATTGCAGGAGTGGCAGAAGGCAGAAGGAATTTTAATAAGGAATGACAACATTTCATAATGATAACTATGTGAGATTACTATTCACCTGAAAAATCATATTCCTTAGTCTCTTGCTGCATTTTTTGTGCATTGTACAACAGCACAATGCGAAGGCATGCTTGAATTAATGAATAGCGCAAAAAACACGATCCGTATGCCAAAATATTGTGAAAAACTATTTCCATCCTTTGATTCTTCTGTAACCAAATAAAAAAGTGAGGTTGTATTTCAATAATTCACAGAAGAATGAGGTTGTGTTTCAATATTTTGCCTCCAGGGTCGGTCATCGTGCACGCGACCTATACCGTTTATAGGTTATATTTGGACGTTTCGGGGACGAATCCGCTATTGAATGGATATTAATTCTTGATAAAAGACGGCGTTGTTTTTGTGTTTCGACTCTTGTCATCAAAATCTGTGAGTTATGTTCTATCCCGTGTTTTATTCAACGACAGGAGTTGCAACACATCTTTTTGATAACTTGGTGACTTGACAATCTTGCATCATTAGTGGGAATGGAATATTATCTTACCAATAACGAAACAGCATAAAAGCTGACATCACCATTTATTCGACGTATCGCCAGATGGCAGCCATGACGGTACGTTTGAAATGAGCTCTGAAATTCAACAATAATTCATTATCAGTCCACTCGCCCATTTTTTGTGGCCAACCAACTTTGAGGTTTTCATTTGTTCTTATTAAATCATCCTCCGCAACATAATTAGCATACTTATTCATTTTGGAAAAAAAAGTTAGCTTCATTTGCATTCAATTTTCTCCAGACCGTTCATTTGAGTTCGATATTTGCTTGATCCGGTGGTAACTACGCAGATAGAAACTTTCATTTATATATCAATTCAAGCATATGTGAATTTTTTTCATTAACGCTTATGATCAATACTCATTGAGAAGAAAATAAATAAACGGAGTTTTTCTGATTTTCTTCAACATTTTTCATAATACTAGGTTGCCCAAGGCTTACCTGGCGTACAGAAAGCGGAAGTCCTTCAACTATGTGAAGAAACTGACTCTCTGTCTCGCCAACTAGCCCAACTAGTCAAAGAAGGAAAGGGTAATTCTCCTCAAGCACAGGAAATAGCTCGCAGATTGTCCCAGAAATTACACGAACTCAAGGAGAAAATAAACCAAGCTGTCGTGAATCGAGTGGTGGAAGATTTCATTGATATAGTGACCCCCTTGAAACAATTTACTGAAGCTGCTCTGGCTCCCGAAGGCACTCCAAACAGAGACAGGAACTTTGCTGATAAAGCTTCTAATTTACAGCAGTTTTCTGACAGAGCGGTCATTACTGCCAAAATGGTTGCAGCCGGTAAGTAGGAGTAGTTTTTTTGCTACAGTACTAAAATATGTTGTTTTATTCATTTTGCCAGGAATAAATTGAAAATATGAAATTTACCTTTTACTGAAGGCAATACAGTCCATAGTTATGGGACTAGACAACTGAATTACTTGATAGCGAATACATTCAAGTCAAAGATTGGCAAACAATCTATATATCAAAATGGTATAATTTTATACAATTCATTACTGAATGAATTGAAAAATATTTATGTTGCAAGAAGATTTAAAATCAATCTTAAAAAATACCTGCTCAGGACCATTTGATTGAAACATAGAAGTGAACATGAAAAGTATGAAAATTCAATAACACATGAATTCTTAACAAGCAGTTGAGCCTCCTGTTGATCGTAGAAGAGATTAAGCTCTATTGGGCATGCTTCCAACTTCCATCATTCATTCATTCGTAAACATACTGTATATTTGTGTCTGTTGTATGTCAGTGTCAATCAACTGAGCTCTGCTGACATTTCAAAGTACCTATCACTTTTGCATGGTATGTCTCGACAGCAACTTTTTTTATGTAGAGGACATCCTGTATATTTCTTCAGTCTCTCTCATTTGCCTTGAAATCATCTTCTAACGAAGCTCTGAAAATCCGGTGTTTCTAACAGTGGTGATTTGATCTTGCAATAGATTCTAAAGCAACTTGACATGGTGATGATAACCTCTCCTACACGCTTTGATCGCCAGAAAACTTCTCGATCGGTTTCCTGCTCCGAAATTTTCTTGCTCGTCAAAACAAGATTTTTTTTCAATACTTGGTGGCATAATTGTTGTTCGAGGACTACCCTGTATATAAGAATAGGTTGATCATGCATCATTTCAAGATTTTTGACCACCGTTCGAACCAGATTGAAGGAACACAGCCAATAGAAATTAGAGCATCAAATTATGCATTACCTTAATAAAACATTCATATTTCAGAAACGCGTGTGACAATTCCAAAATGTTTTTTACAGTATTGAGAAAACATATGAAGCAATATGTTTTTGACCCCAAAAAATGATAAAAACATTTTTCTTTCAAACTGGAGGCGTTCGAAATTTTTTGAAAAATGCACAGCTTTGATTATCATCCTGTAGAATCTCATCTGGAAAAGATGAATTAGTCATATCCATAGGTTCGATAGTCAATGAAACGAGCTTTCAGAAACTGAGAAATAATTGAAAATCGGTTGAGGAAATCGAAAGTTATGATGATTCAAATTTGATAAAAAAAAACGATTTTAGTTTCATGTCATATTAGTTTGTATTACAATAACTTTTGTAGTCTCAATATTATAGTTTCTTCTTTTCAAATTGTAGGGGGTAGCTCGGGCAATAAGAAAATTGCCGAGGCGCTCCAAATCGCCGCCAACCAAGTGGACAGCCTTACGCCCCAGTTGATATCTGCGGGAAGCATTCGCATCGACTATCCATCTTCCAAAGCGGCCGACGAGCATTTCGAGAACTTGCGTCAGCAATACGCCGACACTCTAATCAAAGTCAGGAACCTTTGTGACGAGGCGACGGATTCCGGAGATTTCATCAAAGCATCCGGTGAGTTTTCTTTTGTAGTTAGATATAGAGTGTGATTCATCTGATTGATTCGTTAGAGGTTAATATAGAGCTAAAAGAGACATCAGAGTGAAATTTTGGTTGTCTCTGTAGCGCGATGGTTTCTATTTGTCCTAGCAGACCTCGCAAACGTTGTTTTGCTATATATTATTTCTATAATAGTTATTTATTATACAAGGGAAAAAAGTAGTAGATTTTAGCTCCAGGTTGTGTTGTCTCCCGACGCGTAGCGGAGGGAGAGAAAAAACCGTGAGCTAAAATCTAATATTTTTCCCGTGTGTAATACACTATTTTTTTCAGTGACAGAAGGAAGGACGAATCAATATTGAGAAGATATTACATTATTTCGAAATCTGAAAATTATCGACGTGAAATTTCAAGTTTTTAACAGTAGGGACACCTGCGTTTTATAGGCATCTTTATCATTCTTTTGAAGTAATCAAATATCTGATGTCACTTCTGTCAGTTCAATTTTGTGATTTGATTTCAAAAAATTGCGAATTCAGTAGTTGTTTAGTAATATACGAAACCGCGAAGTGGAATGGAAGATAAAAGGACTTGCAGTTCTTTCTCGGAGATGGTATTATTGACTCATTTTTCGGAACTATAGCACAACAAAAGCCATTAACAGCGTATATATATATGTGATATATATCCGGGAAAAAAGTACTCACTTTTTTCCCACGGGAAAAAAGTAATTTATGAAAAGTGACATTTTATAACCTGTCAACAGAGATGAAATGCCAAACTTTTTTCCCGTCACAGAAAAAAAAATTTTTTCCAGTTCAATATTCATCAAGACACTATTATTATTTTATTTTCTACTTCTCTTTAGTTTCGCTATCTATAAAAGCGTGTTTCTTTAGTTTTTTTTTCCCAATTTCGACGAAAGAATTATAATATATGACTCCTAAAACCCCAGATGAAAATGTTGAATAGAATCGGAACATAATTACAAAACTCGTCCGCAATATTAGATCTACCATCTTGAATCCCCTAATTTTGACGAAAGAATCATAATTTTTGATCCCGAAAAAGCCCACTTACAAATTTTGAATAGAATCGGTATATAATTACAAAACTCGTCCAGTATATTGGTTCCACCGTCTTGAATTTCCAAATCCCGCACTCCAAATTTTGACACAAGAATCATAATCTCCGACCCCGAAAACACCCAGATAACAATTTTGAAGAGAGTCGGATCATAATTACCATATTCGTCCGCCATCTTGAATTTCCCAGCTTTGACGAAATAATCATAATCTCCGACCCCGAGAACCACCAGATACCAAATTTGAATAAAATCGGATCCTAATTACAAAATCCGTCATTTTGGATCCGCCATCTTGAATTTCTTGATGTTGACGAAGGAGTCATAATCCCCGATCACGAAAACCCCTAGGTACCAATTTTCAAAAGAATCGGATTATAATTACAAAACTCGACCGCCATATTGGTTCCGCCATTTTGAATTTCCAAATTCCGCCCGAATTTTTAAGTTCTGACAAAAGAATCATAATCTCCGACACCGAAATCTCTCAGACACCAATTTTGAATAGAATCGGACCATAATTACAAAACTCGTCCGATATATTAGATCCAACCTTCTCCTGGTTCTAAGCTACCTCCCTACCAATTTTCAGCCAAATCGATCCAGTAGTTTCGGAGCCTATTCAATACATACAAACAAACAAGCAATCAAATCTTTCCTCTTTATAATATTAGTATAGATGAGAATTAATTGAAGACACATATTTTTATTATTGTCGTGCGATCTTTGAGTTCAGAAAAGTTCGTTAAGATAAAGTTTCGGTTCCTCCACCATTTTCATGACTTACTACTTACAGACCTGGAGCTAGTGACAGATTTTTGGGCTTGATTTCATCCAGAATGCCATTTGGAGGGTATCATTATGTATATATTCTGATGTTTAAAAATGATCCTTGCTTTGCTCGCACGCAAATATTTATATCGATCATTAATACACTAGTTGGTTAAATAACTATTAGACTGAAAGAAATCTTTCCTTTCATAACAGGCTTCAAACTATTTCCCTATTCAATTTCCAACTAATGATTCCACTATTATATCACTATCATTGTTCTATTTTGTATGATGAAACAAATAGTCGTTATTATTTCAAATTAATAAAATTGTAATCATGTATTTTTTTCAGAGGAGCAGATGAGGAAACATACATTCTTGTGTGACGATGCTATCAAGAATAAACAGTCTCAAAAAATGGTGGATAACACATCAGCTATTGCTAGACTTGCCAACAGAGTGCTATTAGTTGCTAAACAGGAAAGTGACAATTCAGAAGACCCAAATTTCATTGATAATGTCAGTAGAACTTCGGAACTGCTCCAAAACAGTGAGTTTAAATTTACATTTTCCATTATGTAAAAAGTTTGTAAGTGTAATATGCAGTGTATTTCAATTTGAGTGTTTTTTTTCTGGGATCTTGATATGTATACCTTCTTCATAGGAATTGTCTGGTGATCAGAAAAATATATGAAGTAGTATATTAAAGCATAAGTAGATATTAAGGTCTTTCCAACACTCGCGATTTTTCGAAAACCATGGCCTAGGCAGGCTCGGCTAGAGAAAGTGTTGAATGATCAGTTATCCACAAATACTTTACGCTATTTTTTTTATTGCTACACTTTGAGATTATGAATATGGAACTGATAATATAAGATGGTTGAATATTTGTTATTGATATTTTATTCGACGCTACATATGGTTCTGCTGTCACTTCACGTTTCTCGGTCGTTGATGTTACCGTGTGTTACCGTGTTAACTTCATTAAAAAATGCGCCTTTTTGAAAATTCGATTGCTGAGGCGGTCTTTGAATAAGCATAGTAGGGGTACCATTAAAAAAAGAAATTGGTTGCTTTAGATTTATTTTTGCTTGTGTTATGTGACCACGGTATATACGTCCGGATTCATGCATTATTCCTATTAAATAGGTATTTTTTGTTGTTTACCGTATCGATTGTATCTGAGTGTTAATTTTCTAGGTATACCATCAATGGTGCAAGAGGCGAAATCAGTAGCACTCAATCCTTCAGATCAGAATGCTATTTCCAGGTGGCGAGATGCGAATAAAGCTGTGAGTACATTATGATGTGTGTTATAAAAAACCACTTGTCACCAACACTTTTTGACTCATAAAAGCAAAGCGTAGAGAAGTTAACAAATGAATTACTATAATTTCCATATGAATCATCTATTGACTGGGACGCCATAACAAATTCAAAGTGAATTCAAGCTAATCGCTTGGCTGACTTCTCCATTTGATATATGACACAATTCAACTGCAACATAATGAAGTGATCAAAAATAGAAGCAGGACACCAGGGTTATTTTATTATGATAGTGAATGGGAATTGTCGACTAAATGGGAAAAATAATCAAGTTGTCTGGATAGATATATTTGTTATGCTTTGTCATTTTTAGGGTATTATTTGTTATGGTAGTAGGCTATAGAAACGGTGAATCTTGAAATTAGGCATACTTCTCAGTACTATGACAGCTAGGCAGTTAAATATCATGTATGTTGACAAACCCAATGGCTGATTGAATCCAAATGATTAGTTTAATGGACTGAAAATTCAAGTTGACATATTATTCCATCATCGATATTCCATGATAACCCAAACTATTTTGTAAACTTCTGAAGGCTGAGAGGAGCTGAAGAAAAACAACAAAAAGAAAGTACTTAATCGCAAATATCGCTGTATTAGTTTATTTCATCTTGTATCTGGTGTATTTCATAGTAGAGAACAAAATATCTAGTGAATAAGTATCTGAATCAGTTATAAATTGAATTAAGATTAACGTATCTTCGTAACAACCGAAACGAATTTCTTGAATATTTCTTCTTTTTCACCTCAATTTGTTTGCCTGAAAATTATTTATTATTCATGTGCCAAACAAAGAATAGTGTCGCTCAATTCAAAATCATTAATCTGACAGTAATAAAAAAAGGGAGTCGATTCCGATATTCATTGTTTCATTGAATTGATAGACGGCTCCTTGAATCACAATTTGTCTAAGATAATTTGCTATTACGGGAACTATGATTGAAATTGAAATAGTGGAGTTTGATCAATGTTTCAGTTGCTGAATGCCGTCGGCCAAGTAAGGCAAGCCGTGCAAATACATCCAGAACTTCCACCTTTACCAGATATAAACTCTCTCAATTTGGGTAAGTTAAAAAATAATAGATATGTCATTCAAAAGTGAATTGTTCATTTTTTCATATTCTATATTCCTTATAATGATATTCAATTTTCCTGATAGTTCTTTATATCGTAAAATAGTATAGTGGTACTTTTTTCACTAGTGTAGAGTACCTGGATGGATTAATTCGTATCAGAGTATCGACACTAGGCAAACAGTGACAATCAGACATAACCACAAATAATCATATAGATCGCGTGCACATCTGTCAATGACCGACCCTGGAGGTAAAACAACCTCACTCGAATGGTGTTTTTTGGGATATATTATTAATTCAAGCATGCCATCACATTCTGCCGTTCCGAAGTTCAGTAGGTACAGTGAAATTACTTGTGCTGAAATTCCATCTACCAGCAGTGAGCTTTGTGGAACAAAATAAGATAATTCGTACATTGGCCAGCAACTATAATCATTTTAGAAGTTTCCATCATGATGGCAAATTGATGACAAATCGAGCAAACCAGCTTCAAGATTTAATGAGCAGAATGTATAAAATAACTTGATTTTCAAAGCAGGTTTCACATTTATCTCCTCTCACACTCACACTATAGCGTTATACTTGAACCTACCCCTCCCCAGGTTAGTTACCTTGCTTATAGTAATGTTTATGCATTTCTCTTCTACCAGATAGAGGATGAAGGTAACCTGGAGCAGAAATATTTCAACGCAACAAGAGAACACAAGAACAAAAAAATTAATATAATAAAATGTTGTGGAAAGTAATGTGGCAACCAGGACCTAAATACGTCTCCATAAAATGTTGTGGAAAGTAATGTGGCAACTACGACCTAAATACGTCTCCAAGTCCAAGCGATCTAACAGCCGTTCAATTTCTCGCATATTAACAAACTTTACATAAGCTCTATAAGAAATTTCATACTCTTTCAATTTGCGCATGATTCGTTCTGTCAATAAATACGTAGATAATAAATTATCTGCGAAAACGAAGAATGCTATTTTTTCCAAAGTACCCAAATTTGGTCAATCCATAACTTGCTCTAAATCCTTTCCAATTTGTCCTTAATTCATGAGCAAGAACAATATATAGTGTTTTTCTTTAATGTCCTTCCCATTTATTTTTCTAAACGGTTCGACTGAAAAAATTGAAACTTGAGGTAATGAAACTGATGCATGAATACTATAGTTCGGAGTGAAATTGACAGATCAAAATTTTATGATGGCGACGTTAACTTCCTAATTTGTGGAAATAAGCTGAGTTCAGTTCAGAAGATACTTGAAATGGTCGCCTTGAACTTCTTGACATAAGAACAGCATATCCGATATTTCACGCCGAACACTTTCGAACGCAAATACGTCGATATTTCTACAAATATTCATCATTCTTTTCATATATCTGATAATGAGGCAGGTACAGTTTCGTACACATTTTGCTTCAAATAGCCCCATAAAAAACGTCTAAAGGTGTCAAATCTGGCGAGCGGGCTGGCCATTCCGTAGGACCTTATAAAATACTCTGTTGAAATTTATCTATTCATCAAATTCATCTATCTACCTCGACGGCCAATCCAACGACGGGAAAAAGTATTATCCAAATGTTTCCAACTTGTCTGGAGTAATGTAGTGGTGCTCCATCTTGTTAGAATACAATATCCATATTGATGTGTTCGTATTACGGCAACTATTAAATGTTCCGCCATTTTGTAGTAGGTTGTGAAGTATTCGTCAGGAGCTTCAAAAATATGTGTCACAAGACCCCCCTTTCCATTTATTTTTTTCCCAGATGGCGCCAAGTCGCCATCTTGAAATTTTACTTCGAAATATAGTATGTATGCATCAATTTCATTATATAAGTTTAAATTTTTTCAGTTAACCCATTCAAAAAATAAAAGGGGGCATCAAAGAAAAGCACTGTACAGAAAATTTTATTTTCTTCAGGTTTCCATAGGTTGGTCTTTTCGATAAAATTCATAGTTTCTGAGTTACGGCAAAAAATCTGAAAAAAGTGCAAACATTCTGCTGTTTTTTGCGAATATCTCGGAACGTTCCTGGAAATTTTGTTCGCAAACTTCAGATTCGGATTCATCAACCCCAAAAACATATCAAACTGTAGAGAAACCAACTACTTTAATTTTTTCCACGAGATGATATTCCTCTCAACTTGTACTATCAGTTTTCTCTTTTTTTTGCTATATCTGATTGTCACTGTGTCCGTACTATGTATGATGAAATAACATTAAAAATCGTCAAATCCTTATAGGTATTCTATATAGTTTCAACTATATCAATCAATTCACTTGTTGCATACAATTTTTTTTCTCCAACTGGAGATACAACTTCTGTCACTGTTAATAAATATCTCACTCTCACTCACTCTAGTAAATGAAATTGTCAATGACATGTTTTTTTCACTATTCCTTTAGAGTTTTAAGAATAACACCTCATGTGCGTTAACTTATAGTATACAGGTTGATTATCGAAAGCAACATCGCAAGAGACTGATGTGGCTATCGCACGTCTTCGCTATAGTCGCCTTCTCAATGTTGCCAAATGCTATCGTTTATTCTTTATACCTATATTATTATGTAACTATTCGATAAATAGCAGTTCACATGATAGTATGATGTTTGCAGGAAAAGGTATTCTTCCATTTTCTTGTGAACTAACACTTGATTTTTTTACCTAATACAATTGATCAACATTCATAAAGGGTATTTGATTGGGGTTGGCATACAAATAAAACATTATCATGATGTAAGTGCAAATAATATAACTCATATTCTAACAAATCACATGTAATATTCTGTACATAGTTTTCGAAATACATATCAATGATTTTAGTACTAACAAATAATCATTTATCTTTTTCAGAATCTACACCAAGCAATTACTTTATTGACAAAGGTATACTATACTCTTGGGGCTTATTCCATTATTTTGAAAAAAGCATTCAATTGTTAATTGTTTTTGACAGCTATGTGATTATGCTCTTGTGGTGAACAATAATCATATCTTGAGAGAAATTTAGGATGATGCTAATTTGAAAAATGTATAGTGTCTGTAAAGTCTATCATATCTTACAAAAAAAGTTAATATTTGATTTAGCAAAATCTATTATTCTATTATCAAAATTGCTCCGGCTAGTGATTTACTAATTATTATAATATACAGTATGATGCAAATGTATGGAATAAATTCATTATTTCAGAAATGGGCGACATTTTAAAAAAATCCAAAAACACGTGAGGTTTCATTTTTGAAGCCTCATCTCATGATATCCATATGAGAGATGTTACGTCACCGGTGTTGGAGTAATGACGTAATGAACGACTTTTTCAAATGAAAACAGGGGTCACGTGACACCTCGTTTGAAAGGTCTACTGATCGTCTATTCAACAGTCAAAATTTTGCAAAAGAAAATTGAAATTAAAATGGATTATCATCTGATTAACTGAATCTTGCAGATGTCTGCTACTGAGAATTGAACAACGAAGGGTCGTCTATTTAAAAAAATACATCAATTAAGAGGAATGCACAGTTGCACCCGACTCGTAGAACAGCAGTAACCTCAAAATTTCTAGCAAAATAGTAGGCGGACCTTTGTATGTGCAAGAGAAATAAGTAAAGACTAACGCATCGAACGGCTTCTCTCAATTCCTTGACGATATCCACTACTTACAGACGGACGGGCATGTCGCCGAGCAATCTTTGCGTTCACTTTTCCCCTATACCGCTCATTGCCCAGGGTCGGAGCACAGAATGGAGCGTCAGTGGTTTTATGTAAAATTTTGTATAGTCTATTTGTAATAATCGGTAATGATATGAAATTTTACTGGGTTCGTTGAAAATATCATCATGAAAAAACACAATAATATCAGTAACATTTTCATGGTGTTGCTGATAGGTAGAGTTACTCATAAACGGGACATTCAAAACAGAGAGTATTTCATTTAATGTAGAGTAGCCACTACCAGTTGAAACTGTGGCCAACGCTAAAATGCTATTGATGTCCATTTCATTGTCGGTTTCTTCTATAAGATCAATGCTGTTTTCAATATTGCACATTTTGCAAATGAAAAAAATTTTTGTTTTCAAACCCATTCTAATTTCACGAACTGGATACATATCACTGAATGTACAATCGAATGGTGGGTGCTTGGATATTTCTGCTATTTGCTTCAATAATTATCCAATATCTGCCAAACGTCGCCCGTGTTTAGATATGCCTCTAAAAGGGACACTGAAAATAATGCAGATGTAAGTACAAGCAAGATCAGAACGAATATATTTGTACCACTGAGGAATATCATCAGTTGTTTCCAGATTCTCAACTGATGGTGAAACTTGGGAAGATTCATTTATCCTACACATTGGACGTACATCATCACTGAAAAATAAATATTTTGTTGAATCAACGTCCAGTTCGAATTTCAGCATATTCGGAAAGAAGTATTACTCAACAGAGGATTTTGGTGATTTAAATATGCATAAGAATCATCACATGATGTTTGAAAATCATTGGCAAACTTCAAATTTTGAAGCACTTTATTTTTATTATCTCAAATTAGAGCCCTTGTATATTTTCATGTAATTCAATGCATACATGGAAAACAATCATTTCTCTAATTATAATCCTGTCGCAATTCCTTACGTTTTCAGAGTTAGGTATCTGCAGAAAACACGTTTTATCAGTCATTCCAATACTTATGACTTGCCTCTTCAGTAATGATTTCTTTTGGGCTCTTCTACGGCTACGTCTTTTCTCACTTGCAAATAATCTTTTTCCCTCCGCAGCGCCTTTCATTTCTTTCACTTTTCCCATGATTACGAAAACACGAACTCGAAAAAGTACGAACTCACACTGACTACCTGAGCGAATTAAAACTAGTCTAGTTAAAAATCCGTGCGCCCTTGGGTCGCCTGCAGATTGGCTAGCGGCTGCCTTTGCGAAAGAGCGACAGGAAATCGCGTGATCAGAGGGCGCCACGAATCGGTTGCCGTAAAGGCATTTTCTATTTTTCTTCTCACAGGTTCAATTTTCAATCTTCCGAAATAAAATTGATACCTGATTTCAAAAAACCTACATCCACTTGAGGGAAACCCCCATTTGTTATGATTACAAAGAAATTAAGTGTACTTATTTTTTTTTCTGTCGAAAATTTCATAAATAAATACTTTCCCTTATGTAGAATATTTTATTGAAGCGATTGGTATGAACTGCATGAAAATCGGATCATTCGTTTAGAAACTAGAAGAAAATTCGTTTCAAGTGGGCATGGATTCCTCTTAATAAAGTTCTGAAGTCTAGTTTTTGGATTTTTTCCGGAAGTCGTCTTGTTTTGAAATGAATTTATTCCATACATTTGCATCATACTGTATAATATATATATATAAAATAATGCTGCAACATAATTTGTCAGAGAATAGATTTCCGTTAGATCAGCCATGTCATGTCAAAGCATACGTGATTCATAGGACTGCAATATTTTTCCTTCATGTACAGGGTGAGTCATAACTTCATCAATTGGACGTCCTAAACACCGACATGCCATAGCCAACAATATGAACCGCCAATGTCATTAGATAATTTTTTTATCCATTAACGAAGTAGAATTGTATCCCATGGAGCATACGCATTTAGTTTCCGTAATGTATATTTTTAGAGTCTAGATTCTTTCAACATCAGAAGCCCAATATTGAGTTGAAAATGGCACTCAACGTCTTAGTGCATAAGTGTCATGAGATGACAGCTCAATTATGAAACTGTATTTCTAACTACATGAGCCATTATAAGTTCCGCCCTGTTGTAATATATTTTTTATCGTATACAATCTGGTATTACGTTTCTACGTTTATCAATTATTGCGAAACGCGAGGTTGAATAGTTTGAATATATTTCGGAAACATTTTTATTCAACTAATGAGTGAAAAAATGTGGACAAAAAATAATGACTCACCCTGTACAGTTGTAGCTTATATCTTATTACTATGCACCAATAGTGGCCTGGCTTTATACAAATTTTGTAGAATGTCTTGAAGGTTAATTTTTGTAAATATCACTTCTGCTATGTAGTTTAATGCGTCCTAATGCTAAATAATTGTAGTTGGCGAACCTTTGAGAAATACACCAACACCCGGAAGGGAACATGGGACGCTTAGCCCCACACAGCATCTGCAAGGCCGAATTAGCCCCTTGCCAAAATGGGCGAGAGGTACTAATTTATTTAGAAAAAAAGTTGAGGAATGCAACTTGATTTTTCGTTACTTTTGATCGTTTTCTACAAAGAAGTTTTTGTTTTTCTTATCAACAGAATAATATAGAGTATCTGTTGCAAGCTAACTTATTTTATTCGCGGAATTTGAAGCATTTCCTCTTGTTATAAACGTCTGATAGTTTTCTTAGAGATGGACTAATGTTTCAAAGGACTCCGCTCCGCATCAATGGGAAATTGGATTTCGGTGTATTGACTAGAATTTTCGATATATTGTAGAACTCGTGGTGTTATCAAATGTCTGCATTGCACCAACGCTCTAAAATCAACAGGTAAGATTATGTGGGGTGATAAAGTTGACTTTTCCAAAATTTTAGATAGAAATTGTGAAGACACCTTTCATAATTTCAAAACCAAATCAACTGTGCTTGATAATAATTCCTGCAGGTACTAACAATATACAGGGTGGGTCGGAACATAGCGAATAGTTCAGTGGTTTTCGGAAAAGTGGACGGTGTAATTTCATTTAAATTCTGTAGTAGGTATACAAATATCATCACAAATTCGTGATATTAGCATATCCTAATCAGACATATTGAATACAAGATGTTTCATTTTTGATATAGTGAAATGAGGAGATGGTTATGTCCTGGTGATATTTTATTGTTGATAGGGGCTACCGAGATGCACTTCTTTTTCTTCAAAATATTGGCATTCATTGTGAAATGTCTCCAGCTTTGCCTCGAGGACAACATCAGCTATCAACTGACGAGGCCAACAAGTCTAGAATAATCAACAAAAACTAGGTGGATTGTCGAAGCACGTAATGATCATTTGAAAACGATGTTCAAATTCTTTTATCACAAGATAGATACACCCGATGTTATGTGAAATATTCCTTAAGAATAGCAGGTTCAATAATAAATAAGGACCATCCGCTCATTGAAATGACAGACGCCAATCTAGAATTAGCCAATTCAATTTTAGAAATTGCAAATAGAGTAAATGTAGTACAAGCCAGAGTAGAAGCAGAAAACTTGAACTTGATACGTGGTCAGTGAACATTACTCACGCAGGATCATTTCAATGATTTTCCCATATTAGATTTGCAAATGGTAAGAGATGTAACTATTGGGATATACCAGGTAGAATTGTCACCATCGTATATACAAGATACTGTATAACATCACGATGAAAATGAGTTTCAGATGGATTCGAATACGAATGAACGTGGATTTTTACGAAATGCCACGAAATATCAATTGTGGATCGCATTCGATGCCGCTGTGGAAGACATTGACCAAATCAATAGTGTTGATGACATTATTGGATATTATTGCACATGTAAAACTGGAGCAAGGACCCTTGGATGCTGTGCTCTTGTAGCCAGTGTCATCTGGTACCTTGGCTACGCACGTTATGAACAAAACATAAAGTATCCATCAAATGCCCTTCTCATTCATATAGAGGACGCTGCACATCGAGAGGATTGGGTTGATCACATGCTCTGACTCTATCACCCGTTGATCATTTCATAATTATTTCCAGTTTCTGTCAACCCGTCGAAACTTGTTCTTTCATCAAAGAATTTCATTATTTCCATTTCTTCATTTATTTAGGTACATATGTAAGAATGAATTTGCATTTCTTCTACATATATGGTACTTTTATTTTTGTTTGAGGGTTGAAGTATTCTCGAATTGAGTATGACGAGTTGTATTCTGGAAACTGATCAAGAAGTTGAATAAATTCAACTACTTTATTTCGAGAAACGAATTCGTCTTATGAAATAGTGATGGAGGAAATATAATTGCTTGTCATAACACGAAGATAATACACTATGTAAGGTACAGAACTTCTGTTGTGATTGAATATGAGAATATTTAGTTACCCATAATGATTGTATATTCATTGTTCTTGTTTCCTATTGTTGAACTATCACCTGAAAAACCTATTATGATACCTGCAGTACGTTCTTACATATCATTCAAAATATACTACATCGAATGGTTCAAATTATTTTTATGGAATATAATGTCGTTATGAAACAGGGATGAAACAGGGTCAATAAAATGGGTCACAAGAATCTGTACAAACTACACTTGAGAAGTTCTTAGCAAAGACCATTGATTTTTCATCCCCTCCGTATATTTCACGTATTTGCAGAGGGGACATTCATCATGGAATGAAGATTCCCAATAGGTTGTTCAAGTTGTAAGTCATAATATGGATGCCAATAATGAGTACCTAACATGGATGTGACTTGATCAAAAATAAAACATCTTGTATATAATATGTCTGATTAGGAGATGCTAATATCAGAAATTGGGGATGATATATAACAGAATTTAAATGAAATTCCACCGCTCACTTTTCCGAAAATCACTGAATTATTCGCTATGTTCCGACCCAACATGTATATTGTTAGTACCTGTAGGAATTATTATCAATGCACAGTTGATTTGGTTTTGAAATTATGAAAGGTGTCTTCACAATTTTTATCTTAAATTTTGGAAAAGTCAACTTTATCACCCTATATAATTTTAACTGTTGATTTAAAAGCGTTGGTGCAATGAAGACATTTGATCAGCACCACGAGTTCTACAATATATAGAAAATTCGAGTAAATTCACCGAAAGCCGATTTCCCATTGATGCGATGCGAGGTTCTTTGATTTGTGAATTGACTAAAAATTCCAACAAACTTTTGGTAATCGAACGAAAATGGTATTCCGAAATCGGTTTGCAGGTGGTTAAGTGTGCCTGTCTTAATTAAAGCACAATAATTGGGCATTTCAGAAAAGAAATACTTGCAATCAGTATTCGTACGGATCATAGTATGTATTTTGGGAAGATGTTATTCAATGTTTTGTTGTTGTTTTCTATAGCTAGGGAAGTTGTTATTTTTGTCTACCATTGTCATTTGATTCATCAAACGTTTGTGGAATATACTCTGAGTTTGCTCTCTTTGTTACAGCTATCCCATTTTTCTTATATGAATACATTGATACAGATAAATACTAATACTAAACCCTGAAAGTTGAAATAATCTGCTTAAAATCTAGTAAGAAATCTATAAAGTTAACAACTTTCCTTTTCAATTCCGGATTACGAACGTAGAATTATACCTGATTTCATTAGTTGAGGTTTTACAATCGATTCAGTAGTTCGAAATATTAACGTAGAAATAATTCAGCCAAATTCACAAAAGTAGGTATATGATTTCTATTCCTTTGTGTTAATATTTGGTGTTTAGTACTAATTGAAACATCGAAAGTTTCATTCGATGTTTCAAAAACGAATAATTCATATTACCTACCATTAATGTAAAGGTTTCAGGAGAGAATGCTTGTGCAACCTGTTCACTATACAAATAGTCGAAAGCGTATTGTAATAAGCATTTAGTAAAAAATCCACAAAAGAGACTCGTCTTCCTGCAAATCTCATGAAACGTGATTTATAGCAACATTCCCAAAAAACTATTCTATATTTCCATGTGGAAAACCTTCATTGAAGCTAATTTATATTTGTTTGCCTTTAAACTTACAAAAATACACCGTTATCGAGTTATCGTCTGGGATTGCCTTGAAGAAATGTTAATTCCTGTATTGTATACGTTAACTCACATTTCTAAACATGCATTTACGGTTCGAATTGAAAAAATGTAATGCTTCCTTAGTAAACAAATATTCCACTACTAGTCGACGATTCCATAAAATCATGTTTTTCCCCGGTAGCATTGCTGTCACTTGGTCTGAAAATATTCGGATTGTTTTCTATTATCCATTTTTCTAGTTTCTGGTGGAAATAACCTACTCAATGATTCCATATGTTTATATAACTCATGTTACATAGAAATGCAATTATCTGAAAAATTTTAAAAATTTGTTTCTATATACTTAATCAAACATTGATAATATCTAAAAATTATGAGAGTATCTGAAAAATATGCCCAAACTCTGAATATCTGTAGTCCGCCTTGCATGGAGGTGTTTAAATTAGACTACTCTAATTCAAAATTATATCCATATTTGAGTATTTTCACACTCTATCAAAATCTTCACTTTCACCTTTTATTTTGGGTTACAAGAAAATATGTTAGCTAGCTATGTAAACCATAATGATATTTATATTTTTATTTTGTTCTGGTACTAATTTGTAAATCGTCATCTTTTAGGCGATAATTCTGATATGCTATGCCAAGAACTTGCACCTAATTATCATGAACCAGGTAATTCCTCAGAATCCATTGGAATATCATTTTTAATTTGCTGAGATGGCTGTCAAAAATGTTATGGCCTATTGTGAAGTTGCATGTTGGATGAATGATTGTTTTTTTATTCCCGGGACTAAGGTGTGTCCTTGAGTCTCTAAGCAGTAACTAAAATGGCCCAAAAGTTCAAAAAAAATTCCAATACCTACCTCCTGTCCCTATCCTCCCTAGGAACGCACGATGTTCTTTGAACATTATAGGGATTCCCTTTCGTGCGCTCCAAGCGATAAAAAAAAATTAAAATGTTAGGGACTAAAGTAAACCGTTGCTAATTTATTTTATAAATTCCAAAAAAGCGACAATACAACAGTTACTTGGCAAATTAACTGCACTTCCCCATGATACTCGTCCGATTTGGACGTTTTCTGTTTCGAATGACAGGATATCTCTTTCTGAACATTGGCACGGAAACCCTTATTCGCATAAAAACCTCTTGTTCATAGAAACCGAGTGTAGTAATTATAGCGCTTTTTTTCTGCATGAGATATGTAATACCCTGTTAAGTGTAACAGTAACATAATCAAGTTAGAATTGAAATTGCACTTGAGCCTTATCTTTCTTCAACATTTCTTTTTTGAATGCACTCTCCTACTACTCAAGAAACACCATTTTATAGCGTAACATGATTTTATGGAGAATTAATATCCAAATCAAACAATTAAAAAAACGAAACAGAATTTTGGTACATGTCTTCACAAATTTGAATCAGTCTCTGCCTCGCGTCTTGTTCGTTCGTTCCTCTTGTAATCATGTCCCAATAATGTTCTCAATGGGATTCAAATCCAAGCTCCGAGCTGGCCATACCACGGTATCGTTACCGACTTGCTCTAGATAATTTCTCACAACTCGGGCGACGTGAGGCCTGGCATTATCTTGCATCAACAAAAATCCTTACACTATTATATTTTGTGGTTCTAAAATCTCCAATATTTACCTTTCAGCTGTAGGTCTTCAGTCAAAGAAATGCTTTCTCAGACCTTAGCCTGCTACTTACGTGCTCATAATGCTAATTGAATTCAATAAAATCATGTTATGCTAAGAACTTGTGTCTCTGGATTGATAGGAAATATAATGGAGCAAATCCAAACAAGGAATGGTGAAAAAATACACGGCTAAAGTGTAATTTCAATTCTATCTTGATTATGTATGTATCTGAAACTTCTGGATACTTTTTGGTGGTGCATTAATTTTTTTCGGGAAGTATCAGTATTGTTTCAATATACTTGTAGTTAGGATAAATCAGATGATTTGCCACTGCTCTTGAAATATCACATTAGAAACCTAAAAGAGAAGTATAAAGTTTCACTTATCTTTAGACGTCTTGGGGGCGAATTTGCTCCCTCTTTCAACATAACAATGTAAAATAATTCCGGAGATGGATCTTTTCGCCTTCGTCTCTTGACACTCCTGACAGAAATTGCAAGAAAAATGTTTGATACAAGATGTTTTCATAATTGATCTAGAATATACCATTTTCATGGAGTGAATACCATGTTCTATCTATATCCACAAGCAATGTCTCTGTTCAGAGGAATGCAAGCGGATTCTTCGTTTTTTTTTTATAAAAGTAAGACATATGGACAAATCGAAATTAGCTGAACATTACCTTACTGAAAATGAACAACATATGACATATGGGAATGAGTGGAATGCTAAAGAGAAATCAAAGATTCCGCTTGCAATAGAGGTATACTTGATTTATCATTTAAATTAATTTGCTAATTTTGCATATGCATAGCTTCGAAGAGCTTCTGCTAAACTCCATTTTAAGTAAATGGAGCAAAAATTCCAACAGATAATCAATAATGAGTAATATACAGGGTGTCCCCAAAAAGGTCTTTACAAAAACTCTCCACATTCCTCAGACCAAAACAATTCGATCTAAGCAAACTGACCTTAGTACAAAGTTGCTTAGTTTGGGCACTAGACCGCTCTGCAGTTGATGTTGACTGGTGCTTTGAACTACTAAAATTCAAATTCTGTAGAAACCATGAGAGTGATCGAATTATATCAAGAGTACCATTTTTGTAGTAAACGAGTTACGCAATCCAAATTTCATATTCAAACCCATTTCTTCCCATTGGCGTAGACATTTTAGTTGTTATTTAAAAAATATCAAGTTCTACACCCATGGAATGATATTCATCATAATTATTATATCGGTTTTATTGTCCAATAAAGCTATGCCAACGTACCAAGTTTGATTAAAATCTCATGACCCGTTTCAACTTTGTACTGAGGTAAGTTTGATGTATCGAATTGTTTTGGTCTGAAAAATATGTGGTAAGTTTTTGGAAAGACCTTTTAGGGACATAACGTGTCTAACGGAAATATTCAATTCTCTTCAATTTAAGGACAATTTACCTGAATCCCCAAAAAAGAGATATATGCCACTTCAGAATTTTATTCACTTAACGCTTCTGTAAATATATGCTTGTACATTTTTTATCAACAATTAACCTTAACAATTTGATATTTATTAATAGAGCTTCATAATTAATAACAACTTTACTTTACATGCATACAGGACGTATTAGTTTCATTCCTGAATATGTCATTGAAGATGGTAATTTTTTATTGTTTTAAATACACCAGCTTCGAGGAAAATCAGTGTTCTTGTCATTTACTGGAATAGGAAGTTTTACTTTCGCAAGTAGAAATTTAGATTTTTAAAATGCCGGTGAATGATGATGAAGTTATCAGTGCATGAAATTATACGTAGGTATTTCGATGATCAATTGTGAAATGTTTGTTTTTTTAATATTTCTCTATCAGGTCTCATAAATGCATCGTTGATCACCGAAATATCATTATCATTATAATTATGTTTTGAGGGATCTGTTCTGGCTGATATTTTTGAGTTTATGGAACACAATGTGTCGAAGTTTCTCAATTGACTTTGCTTGGTTGCTTCTTTGTCATGAATGTTGCAATGCAATCAATTCCACAGCGATTGGAAACAACAGTTATTCGAATTTGACCGTAATAAATGTCGAGAATGTTGAATAAGATAAGAAATCCATCTCATCTTGTTCTATTTAGAAATATTCTATTTTTAAATATATTTGTCTCTGTATACAGGGTGATACATTGAGAAATGCGTATACAGGAAGGATAGATGAAGGACACCAAGGTGCTTCTGAATAATTTATATTTCATGGGTCTATCATTCTTCATAATCAAGATACGCGCTTGTCAAACAAAGTGTCACATTTGATCCTAATATAACAATGTACTCGTCTGATTATTCTTTAGCTTGAGCATCATCATTTCTCGACTCTTCTAATGAAGCAGTCTATACGAACACTTTGGGTTTGATATCCCAAATCGTTGTAATTGTCAAGTTGGCTGATGTTAGAGTACAATTTTGACGAAACTTGATGAGTTCGAACTATGTACTTGTGTTTTGTGTTGTAACGTTCATAATATTTATTGCTCACTCAATGACACACAAATTTGATAATAATGATCATGTTGTATGTCTATGGATTTAACTCAATACATACGATTTGTTGCAACGACATTTTTGTTTGAAATAAAATTACGCTTTTTACGGAATGGTAATTATTCAACATTTTCATAATCGTTGTTTTAAATGTAGTACAATAAACAAATATTATGATAATTGTATGATAATTTTCTTACACATACAAGTTAGTCATTATAATAACAATTTGTCCCAAATACGGACATGTCCTCCCTGTCAATTAGGTTGGGATCCAAAAATTAGGAGAATGAGATATAGTTGATGATTTTATGGATTTTAAATGGAAAAGTACCATTTGGGACCACACATATGTTTTTTAAGATGTAGTGCCACCTCATTATTGAAACCTCTAGATTTGACTCATGTTAATAGGTAAAAAAAATCTATGCAGAAATACCAAATACATTCAGTCTCACTCATTTTGTCCTGCTCTTTGCAAATTTGTAAACCACTGTGGACAAAGAATGTACACACCAAATATTTGAAAAATGTATACGGTGGTTCATAAGTTATGATTAATTGAAAAAATGGGGGAATCAATAATAAATCTTGGTTATGAAAAATGATAGACCCATGAAATATAGATTATTCAGAAGATGCGCATTTCTCAATGAATCACCCTGTATTATTGCATTTTTGAACTCTGCATAATTATTTTTCGACAAATAAAACGATATGTGACATTTCAAACATCAATATCTATTTCAATTCCTTGTGCAGTTCTCACCTGACTGTTCTGATTTACTCTAGTACTTGTATCCCAAGAATGTATGGATACAAGAATCAACTTCAATCACATAATCCATCCAGTGATTCGAGATTATGAGAATCACACCGTCCCCTACTACTACTGGTACTGGTGGGGGACGTTTGCACGTCAGCAACTAGTCCCTAATGGGACCTTTTTGCAAACCCCAAGGTGTTTTTCAATGACTGATGTGGTTCGCTTAAGAGAGCTGGCTAACATCCTGTCCAGGCACCGCCCATCAGCTCTCTTTCAGAGTTTTTCGGATGTGTTTTGTAGGCCAGTAATGTACTCACTACCATATGCTGCAGTGGCAGGCCTACTAGCTATTCTGGTTAACCTCCGTTAGAGACAGAGGTCCACTAAGCAGCTGGCCCGCTCTCACGCTCAGCTGGTAGTTTTCCACACCCACCTACATACACCGTCCTACTTCTTCTCTGATGCTCACACCCACATCATCATATCTTTCTGCGTGTTCTGTGTAGGCTTTGTTACTAACTCCATGCGCCACTTTAGGAGCAGCACTGTTGATTGGAACGCAACAGCGAATCATGCAGGACTATCCCCAGCCGATGCTCCGAAACTTTACAATATTTAATTCGTAAATAACATATTGAAAAAAGTCGCTTGCCCGTGCTGGGAATCGAACCCACGACCTTGACGCTCTTCCACTGCGCCAATCCCGGCCCGCACCGTCCCCTAAACGCGGTTCTGAAAATTCGAGCTCGGCCGAGTCAACGAACATCAACTTTCAGCGATTGTCGAGCTTGTTAGCAAGCCAGTGACAATCATTTCTCGACATCGGCTCGTTCTTGAAATTTACAGTTGAAATCGCAGAACACGATCAGTTCGTAAAAAGTCTGAACAAGTGCGACAAGTGGAAAACGGTACCAAATTATATGATTTATGAGCAAATGATTAATGAGGCAAGATACATTTTTTTGTTAAACCACATTGGTACTACCGTGTACTAATTAAAAATTAAATCCAATCTGCCGTATAAAAATGTGCGATGAATTCAAGCGAAATTCTATTGAAAAATAAGTAGAAAATTATCATGAGTCCAGCCAATAATTCGGTATCATACTGACGAAAATACCGCTTTTCGTCGAGCTCTACAAAAAATCACATTTTACGTTCTAATTTCCGAACGAAGGGCCTACTTTAATCTTCATTTAATCACATACAGTTATAAATGGCATGATATTTCGGCACACTCTGTTTGAATTAATTTTACAAAATAAGTAAGTAATAAATTCACATATAGGTACTAATGATATGTATAAACCAAAAAAGGACAATAGTTCATCTGATTCAGATCAAATTCAATTTTTTATATACCTCTGTTATAACAGTTTGTTTTTGACATTTAGTTTTATTGATTGGTTTTGTATCTTTGTTGTTAATTTTCACTATTCGTTCCATATGTTTTTTATATACTCAAATCTGATTAGTACGTATGTAACTGTATTTTATGATATTTGTGAGTATTTTTGAATTGAGAATTAGATTAGAATAGTATGAGAATGTTTGTTTTGTTTGTTTCTATTTTGTTGAAAATAGGTTACTTTTCTGTTTACTAAAAGTACATAATGTTTTGACACATTTATTTCTTAAAAACACACCACGTCGTCATAGCAACCACGAATCTAAATAAAACAGCATCTTCTCGTGATACTATCGAAAATTCTATCAGAAATTCTATCGATAGAATTGTGAGCACTCATGAACTTCTGTATCTGAGGCAAACCCATTGGAACAAACCGAATTATCAGTCGGCTTGTTGAATTGAATTTAATTTCTATCAGATGTAAATTAGAATTCATCGCACATTTCAATTCGACGTACGGATAAATTCTTCATTATTATCACTGTGATGAACTCGCACTATTTGACATTTTCGAAGGTATTTCATTATTTTAAGCATCACTAAGAAAACGGAATGTTCGAAAAGTCACTCAATGATTATTGGATTCAGAAAATCATACAGAATTCAAAAATGCATTAATTTACAGGGTGTTACAGGGTGTTCCATTTGAAAAAAGCATTAATCAGTCTAAAATGTACGTTTATTACCTTCAAAACTGCAGGAAAAAAGGATGTTCACCTCATGTATCAACCGGTTAAAAAGGATTTTGGACTTATTGTCAATATTATTCAGCATCGAATTCAACAATGTTTCTTCAATTTAACTACTCGCGGTGCTCGATACCGCAACGATGGCAGTCGAATTCGAATAACCCTTATCATCTTAATTCGCAATCCTATGGTAATTTCGTTTTGGTATTCAGATCAGGCACCTCCCCGTCCTCCACTACCCTATGATAATGCTCCAATGAGGCCCCCGCCTCCTCCAGAAACTGATGACGAAGATGAGGTGTTCAAAACGGCGCCTTTACCCAGTCAACCTATCATGGTAAGAATGAAAATAGCTATTTGTGATATATAAACTGCTCCACATTTGAAGTGAGACAAACGAATATTTTGTTTGTTTTCGAACTGTAATAACTCTAGATGGGATCAACCAATTTTTGATTTTTTTGGGATTCGAATTGCTCAGTCAATTGGGTATAACATAATTCATCTTACGTTTCTCCACTTTTTCGGAATCATGACCTACAGGATGATATCTGAAAGTGTGATAATTTTAGAAAAGTTTAAGGTCGCCCCGTTAGTAGGATAATTTTTAAAATGTTTTTCTGACTGCAAAAACATGAAGCCTGATGTGTTTTCTCGAAATGGTTTCGGATTCATGAAGATCCATACAGGATGTTTTGAGATGAGCAATTTTGAACAACATATAATAATAATAATAATAATAATAGGACTTTATTAGGCGAAAGTTTAGCTACAAAGAGCTATTCTTACACTTTAACCTAGGTACATATATGTATAAATAGTAGGTATTACAAGGTATTTTCCAAGAAAACAAACTAAATCATATTTCTATTCTTAGATATAAGTCTTCACTTTTCTACTTTTTGAATTGTGGAAATATTAGATAAATGTAGAAGTAATCTGTGCAGCTAGGTAGACTGTGTTCTTTGTTCATCAAGGATTTTATTTTTCAGCTTCATTCTGAATGACTTCATACTCAGTTTTTTAACATTGTCATCTAAAGCATTATAAATAAGTGGTAGTTGGTAGGAGAAAGATGCTTTAAATTTACTGGTGGAGTAGTGTGGGATGTTCACAGTAGCAAGATTCCTTATATTGAGGTTATGCAATTGATGACGAAATATTATTTTTTCATAAAGGTAATATGGACGTTTCTCGTTGATAATTTTATGGAAGGCAGTAGTGGCATGTAGAAGACGACGTTTTTTCATGCAAAGCCAGCCAAGAGATGAAATATATTCAGTGATATGATCAGATCTTCGCAAGCCCCAAATCAGTCTAGTGCAGTTATTTTGCATTTTTTGAATTCGATAACAGTCAAAGGAGTCGATACATGGACCATATACTATATCGCAATAGTTGAAATTAGATAAAACTAGTTGATCACACAGTTTCTTCTTTAAATCAAAAGACAGAAATTGTCGACTTGAGTACAGCAATTTAAGACACCCGTAAGCACGCTGAATAGATTTGCTGACGTGTTCCGAGAATTTCAAATTAGAGTCAATAATTAAACCTAAGTTTTTGGTTGCTGATACTAGTGTTAAAGTGACACCTCCTATGACTATGTTGATATCATTCTTCACACGATTAATTCGACATTCATTGCCAAATAATAAATAAGTGGATTTTGTGGGATTAATATGAAGATTATGTTGCTTAGAGAGGTTGATAATTCTTTGTAAATCTTTGTTGACGAAATAGTTAGCTAAATAGGCATCTTCGGAATAAAAACTATAATATAATTGGCTATCATCAGCATAGAAGTGGCTTCTACAATCTGAAAGGCTATTAGATAATTCAGCAGTATATATAAGGAATAAAAGTGGTCCCAGAATCGATCCCTGAGGTACACCATTATGTAATCTGAGTGATTGAGATTCGCTATTATTATTTTTGACTATTTGACTTCTTCCACTCAGGTAACTTCGAAAGAAGTTTTGTGCTGTCAAGTTCAACCCATAATATTTCAGCTTAGAAAGTAGAAGTTGGTGGTTTAAAGTATCAAATGCTTTCGTGAAATCTAACATTACCAAGGCTGTAACTTTATGGTTATCCCATTCTCTGATAATATCATCACATATATTTAGCATTGCCGTGGCAGTGCTGTATCCCTCCCTGAACCCTGACTATGGCTTCTCGAATTGTTTGAATAACTTAAATTCATTGATTAACCCCTCGGTATAGTCTCATGTTGTCTGTCTAGCACCTTGAAATCCACCGAACAATTCTAAAAAAATATGAAATTGAAAGGTATTCGAGTGATGATTCTGTTTAAGAAATAAAAAAAGTAGTCCACTCGTCCATTGTAATCAACCGCGAATACCTGAATAGAGCGAACCATAGATTACATAATTTCCATTGCAGTATTCTTAATTTTTGATATACTAGTAGTGGGTACTAATATGACAAGTGAACTCTTCAATAGATCAATTTTTTGATGATGAATTTCAGGTTGCTGCCCATCACTTGTACAGAGAAGTTAGGCAATGGTCTGCCAAGGATAACGATCTCATCAAAGCTGCACAACGGATGGCTAAATTGATGGCTAGTCTTTCTGAACTTGTACACACTGATGACAAAAGTTAGTAATGGCTAAGTATTTTCCAGATGAGAATAAAGTAGGTTGCCTGGATAGCTGTGAACCGATAGTGGCTGACTATGGAAACAGTCAAATGTCAATGGAAATAGAATTCATGTATTTGCAGTTTTACCGCTTAATTACCGGCACTTATATAGTAGTAGTCAATCATTTCGAATTTTGAATCAATTTCAGACGGTTATTGGACAGCAACAGCAACAACAACCACTTATCATCAACCATCAGTTACATTTTCATATTTTGAAATGGTGGAATTCAAAAATAGTATATAGTGAGAGATAGAGACAATCATTAATACTTGATTGGTGTTCACACTGCTCTCGGATCAATAATTCTTCAAATTATTCTTGAAAGTCATTTTATCGAAATTCTATAACAGACGAAAATTCCAAAATGATTGATTATCTTAAACAAAATGGCTGGGGAGTCACTGGCGCAAGTTGGTATTGTGAAACAGCTGGGGTCAGTAGAAACAGGACCCCTTCTATTTTCATTATTTGACTATGTTTCTCTCAAAAGATGTTACTCATTACATCAAAGCACTGTTTCAAATTATTTGAAATCAATGTATTATTCAACTCATTGAATAGAAGTTTCAAATGTTGAACATGAGGTCCTATAAATGTCATGCTATTTCTGCTCAAGGAAACGAAATAACTATCTCTTATGAACAACAAATTCTCTGTATCATCACTGCCACTTATCTTAGTTTCTATATAAGATGGCCGTACTGTCAATCTGTTATTGATGTGTGATATCAGTTCAATCAACGAACGCCAAAAAAAGGTCGAATAGGAAAAAAATCGTGTAGCCGAAAATGTTCATAGAGTGGTAAAGGGAAGTGCCATGAACAATATACCTCCTAAAAGTCCTGACCCGTAAGGGATGAGCAGGTTGGTAGGGGAGCGTTATAGGTATACATTTCAATTTTTATTTCAATATACTGAACATATTGGTAAGTTATATTTTTATATCATAATACATCATATTATTCTATTCGATTTGAGAGATAATGTCAATTCTCAATTTCAGAGGATTTTGATTTTTCATGTTCTCTTTTTGGATATTCAACAGATATAATTCAATGTTCGACGTGGCAAATAGCCAGGAGAGTAGTTGTTTTCTGTTGAATAAAATGAGAAAGAATTGATATTTTCATCACATAGATAATGCGAATTCTCAATGTACTTCTTTGATATTTCTCGAATTTTTAATTACCTGTATCTCAGAAACCATTCATTGTAGACTAAAAATGAATAGAACCAATTCAATAGGAAATTTCATGTTCTTCTTGTTTACCTACATTTTTTCACTAGAGGTCGCGATTTTCGAGTTATATAAGAATAAATCCACTTGTATAAATTGTAGATTTCTCATTACCTAAATTTGCTCAAGCCCTCTGAGTGTTATTTCGACAACCAAGGTAATGAGTTACAACTTTTAATGCAAATTTCTCAATTCCATCGCGAAGATATACTTTTTTATGGCATTGTTCTATGACTATACTTATGTTGAACTGTTACATCTAAAGGTTCAAAGAGGGAATTGATAGCCACAGCCAAAGCTATCGCAGATGCCAGTGCTGACGTAACTCGTATCGCTAAACAGCTGGCCAGAGAATGCACCGATAAGAGGATCAGAACTAACCTGCTCCAAGTTTGTGAGAGGATTCCGACCATCGCCACCCAGTTGAAGATCCTCAGTACTGTGAAAGCCACAATGTTAGGATCTCAAGGTAAGACTTTTTTTCACATGAAAATATAGTTTTGTTTATTCAACACCCTGTTAGTGTATATACACATTTTTCATCATATACAGTGTGTCAATTTGACAACTTTGTAAGGTCCTTGGAACAGTGTGGCTTTTTATTCAGTGACTTTTACTTTGGCGCTGTTCGGACAGAGACTACTCTGATACTCGTTTCGGATAGGGTATTTTGATGCAAATAGACGTATTTGTCATCTTAAGAGGGTTCGTACAGATCCTCGTCTCCTCTCACTCTAAAGTGTTTGTGAAACAGTTATATAGTTCCATCCTTATTCAATTCTGGGGAAACACTAGATTTCTGACATTTGTTGTTTTTTAGGACATTGGTGTATCATACGTAATTTCCACATGGAATTCCTGATTGAACTCTATATATTATATCCAAATGATGATCAATAATTTTTGAGCTTTTGATCTTTCAACTCCAGCATAATCTATGTGAGGCATTGAGCATATTTTCTTTAAAAGTTTAATATGTTTCACGAAGTGGGACTGTTCTTATGCTGTACCTATAAATTAATGAATTTTGATTTCAGACTGAAAAATGGTAAAAACTTTGGTGTAGGTAATGTGCTCATGAGTCATGTGTGCTGTTTATCTATATATTCATGTTGGGTATCATTTTTGCAGTTTTTTACGAACACTTAATATTTTATGAATGTAGGTATAATTTTTTAAATGCTAGGGCAAATGCCTCTTCTTTTTATCCTCCGTTTTAATCCAAACTGTTTCTACTAAAATAAATTCAAGAACTTGGGAGTGGATAATTAGGCACAATGAGAATATATATTATATGTGATTTCGTATTAGTTTTACCTCGCATTTTTTGCTGATGCATTTACCGATTTTCCCAATTCGGTTTCTTCACTTTTCATATTCTAAGTTCATTTGCATTTGTTGGAATGCTGACGAATTCAAATTTGCCATCCAACTGATACATCCTAACGCAGCACATTTTACCATCTTTCCAAAACAAAATTGAATACTGTCGTTTTAAGATTAAGTACTAATTAAAATTTTGTAAGATTTTTTTAACGCCCATGAATGTGATGTGACAGCAATGTCATGTCAGGGTTGCCAATACACAAAACAAAAGTCACTAGATCATTAAAAGAGAAAGGAGCCATGATCTGTCCATACCCTGTTAAGATGACAAATACGTCAATTTACCTCATGGGACCCTAGTTTCGGATGTTTCGGGCGCCAGAATTTTTTCAAAGGTGATTCACTTCACCTGTTCCTATACAAACTGAATGTGGAAAGAAGGCCAGGGCAGCAATAGCGAAGAAGGCACAGACGGTGCCTATTGTAAACCAGGGGTCAATGTTATTGAATTGACCTGGAATTAAGGATCCAAGGGAGTGTATACTTTAATTACAAACCCTGGGTCTAGCCTGGAATACTGGTTGCTATCTTTATTTGGGATAATTACAGAAATCAAAACAAATCTGTCGAAAACAGTATCTGGTATTCTCAGGTTAGGCCTGGAAAATTATTTATTCAAACTATTTCATTAAGTTTACCTGGAGAATCAGAAATAAAGTTCCAAACGAATGGAACAGATTTAATTCTCATTTATTTTTCCTTCAATTTTCTAATTTTTGCAATATTGGACTTTTAGTGAGGTTAATTATCTTTTTCCATCCATGTCGAAATTGCATTAACCACAGGCTCAAGAAAAAAAGGAAGAAGAAGAATTGACAACTGGCTATGTCAGCCGTCAGTCGATAGTAATGATCAATTGAAGACCTCAGTGCAAGAACCGGGCAACTCCAATTTTTTAAAATGTTGGAGAATGGAAAAAAACTTGATATTTTTGAGAAACTCCAAGAAAAGTATGCTAAATGGTATGAATTCTTTAGAGTAACGTTAGACAAGCTGTATTTACCTAGATACTAATTCTCATTTACACTGTAGAGGCTAAAAAAGAAGTTTGAAAAAATGGAGATGCCTGTTTCTTTCCCCAAATAGACAAAATTCTGCAAATATAGTCAAACTCGTGTAATAGTTTCAATTTTTTACTGAAAATGAAATATATTACGAAAAATATTGTAAACATTATCTATCAGTATTCTGAACATAGGAAGAATCGCTGACGTTTCCTGAGTCTTGATCTTCGTTAACATTGCCAGAATGTGGGTCCTCTTCGTCAACAGTCATGTTTTTGGAACATATCCACTCCCTGAATCTAGAAAGGGCTCACTCTCACTTCCCGATGACATTACATTGTATAGCGTGAAACAAATGATCAAACTAATCACGCCACACACGATGGAAGACGCGGGAAGGGTTGCCGCTAATAAACTCACTCCGATATTTCCCACTACACGCGTACATTTCGGTGCTAAAATCGGGTAACTCCTGGAGTTGCCCGACTCTTGCACCTCAATGGCTCATCACGTAAATCCTTTCCCGTGCTAACTTGATAGGAAATTGTTGGATTTGCTTGATACTTGCAACAAAAGATGCACAAGAAAAAATTCTATATGTTGAATGCAATAACCCAATTTCGGCATAAAATGGAGATGCCCGGTTCTTCCACCGAGGTCTTCAATTTGACAAATGAAAATATTGAAAATCATTAAATGAATGATCGGAACTCAACTGGAACTGAAAACAATGACAACAGAGAAAGAACTATGAAATATGCAACCATGAAAAAAAAACTATATTTTCAGAATACAACAATACAACAAGAATGAAATTGATCTATATACAGGATGAATGATAATTCCTTAGCTGTGTTTCGTATTTATACACCCCATCAGCGTCGGTGCACGGGCAGCTCAATCCTAAATTCTGATTGGTCGGAATCCTCAACTATGTATGCAGGAACTAGCTTCCAGAAGTACATATTCTTGAACCCACAAAAATGCGAAAAAAAATCTTTAACCCTAAGTGGGCACAGGAACAGAATTTACTACCCTTGCTTAGGCTACTGAATGAATTTGACTGGAAAATATTCAATAACAAGAAAGTTATGACCAGGTAAACATCCATCATTTCAATAGATAAATAATTCATCCAAACCTGAAAGCCATGCATCTCAGTGCAGGCGAATTTTAATTACTTCTGTAAGTTCAGAACAGTATTTTTCGGAAACTGCTCATCAAAAAATAATAAACTAAGGTAGGTACCGTTAGATTAGATTGATATGGGGCTCATGTGCTACTAGGAGCCTCTCCACTGCGACCTTTACAGATCTATTGTGTGTGCCCTCATGTTATGTTAGAGTTCCTTGTCTAAACCCGTCCTTATTACTAGACTCCATAGGCCAGACCTCAGGTCCTCCATATATTGAGGGGGCTGTGGTTTTTCCTCCCCTATCGTCGAAAACCTTAGCCTAGTCAGGCCTTCGCAGTAGCACAGTATGTGTGCTGAGGTTTCCTCATCTTCTTGGCAAAACCTGCATATGGTTGTGTCCGCCAATCCGATGTTATTCATGTGTTTGTTGAGTCTACAGTGCCCTGTCAGGAGCCCAACCAAGATCCTTGTTGTTCTCCTATTCTGGCTTAGTAGGTACTCCGTGAATTTTGGCAATGGTTCTTTAATGAACTCTTTGGCCTGTCTCATTCCCGGCGCCTTGTTCCACCATTTTCGAGACTGCTTCTTCATCCAAGTACTGTTATTTGTTCTTTGCAGCGCTTTCGCTATACCACAGAAAGGTTCTGGACCGATAGGAGCACATCTTGCTCCTTCTCGGGCTAGTGAGTCAGTCTCTTCGTTGCCCTTGTAGCCTGTGTGGCCTGGTACCCAGGCTAAGTACAGTCTGTTTTGACTGCCCAGCTCTTGTAGGGTTTCCAAGCAGTCCCAGACGAGTTTGGAATTGATCTGCATGGAGCTGATTGCTTTTATAGCCGCTTGGCTGTCGGAGTAAATGGCGATGGTCTTTTCCTTAAACTCTTGTCTTATTAACTCTCCTGCACACTGATGTATTGCTGCAACTTCTGCCTGGAATATCGTCACGTGTTTACCTAAGCTCAGTGAGACTCTTGTCTTTGGCTTGGCTATATATATTCCTGCTCCTACACCTTCATCGGTTTTTGAGCCGTCTGTATAACAGGCCATTTCTGCATCAATTGGAGGACCTCCCTTCCATGCCTCTCTGTCTGTTATAACAGTTTTAAATTGTTTACCGAAGCTATACTTGGGAAGCATCTCGTCCGATGGCATTCCCATTATCGGGTCGGTTTCCAACTCTTTGTATAGTTCGTTGTACATCTTACCGTGCAGTCTGCTTATGGGCGTTTGCCCTCTGGTCAATCTATTGGTGACTGACCTGGCTTCGCCTTGTATGTAGACGTGAAGTGGCGGTAGGTTCAGCAAGACTTCTAAGGCGGCTGTTGGGGTTGTCCTCATAGCTCCCGTGGCTGCCAGGCAGGCTTGCCTTTGAATGCCACTTAGCCTTTGGGTCGCCCCAGCCTGCCGAGTCTTTGGCCACCATACCACCGAACCATATGCTATCATAATAAACTAAGGTAGGTACCGTAAGATGATGTGCCACTTATTCTGGATTCTAAGGGATGAACCATGAGGGCTAAAAATATGTGTTTGAAGTATCCCCCTCGAAAACAAAATTGACCTGTCTCTTCGATTTTCCATAATATAATTTACGGGAAAGGGGATATTGAGGGTGGAAAGTTTTCAAATTGACACCCTGTATATTTTTTATGAAAGTACGTCAAACATTGAGATTATACAGTTTCTATGACACAAAAAGTTTTTACTTGTTCAAATGTACAATACGTCTTTTACTGAGACCACTCAGGATCTTGCTTCGCTTAAATTTACTGCCATTCGCCTATTAACAATTTGTGGAAAATACACCAACATTAAATGAAAAGAGCTTTATCATCATATGAGTTATTTAAAAAGAAAACAAATTCAACATTCGTTAACCATATACCGGGTGGCTACGGAAGTTTTGCCTACGGAATATCTCAGTTATTGTATGAAGTAGGTTTGTGA